GTAAATATTATAATATTATAGATTCATAAATTTTTAATATCATGTTGGTATTTTTTAATAAGAGTTTATTAAATTTGAGTCAAATATTATACTTTAATAAATTCAAGTTACGATTTTCACTGAAAGCGAATAACCGTGATTGGCTTTTATATCATCGAGTTTATACATTTTTAGAATTTTCTCAAAAACAACTTCAACGATTTAGATTAAATTCGTTAAATTTATTATATCGATGTGGTTTTAGATTTTGTTTAGTATTAGGTAGGTATTATTCTCATTGAAATGGTCAAGCATAGTATAAATGCCAATTTTTCAAAACTTATTCCACTAGAATAGCTTTGATTTTGATTATTTAAAATAACTAACCACTTCATGTTCTAAACAGGAATAAAAAATGTTTAAATAAAAACTATGAAATAATTTGATAATTAATTAAAGAGAAAAAACCGTCTGACCAGTAAGGTCAGTATAGCTTCCAATATAGGTTCCTCGTCGTTTTCATTGGCTAAACAATATTTATATTTCAAGGTCTATAATTTTTCGTATGAGAACAAAATCTCCAGGAGAAGCCATTTTCGAGAATACAATAATCCCTCAGTAGTGATATACACTTAATAGGTGTATTTTAACTGGTAAAATGGATGGAACAAAAAATCCATTGGAAAAAGTGAACTTTTTGTTTATTCGGAGTTATCGAGACTAATGTTTGTCTTCAGTCAGAAAAAAACTAATTTAAGCTGGAATATAAAAATATGAGTGAAGTTCACGCAACTATGATGTTTAAAGAGGAAATCGAGAAAACGAAGAGCTGGTCGAGCTTTAATAGAAATAAAAACAATCACAAATAAAATTCGTTTTTTTTTTACAAACTCGGAGTAAAAATTAATTTGAATTTACTGGAAGTTACGCGAAATTTATGTAACGTAAGTTCCATGCCAGTAGCGTTTGTAATCGACCGAAAAATACATTATAAATTAACTATTTAATTAATTTAAAATCTATCTAACTTAGATTAAAATTAACTATCTACTCAATTTAAAATATAGGTATTTATTTTTATTTATTATAAAACTATTTTTTTTAGAGGTGTGGGTAGAATTTGATAACATTGATACTTACTTCATTATCAGTTAACTAATCCCTGACTTCCCTCCAAATATGAGCCAAATCGAACGTGCAGTTTTAGAGATATATATGTATCGATTAAACCACGTTCGAGTATATATAAGAGAAAGTCAATAACGGAATTCAATAAAATCAATACAGAATTATTTTAAGAAAATCCACCTTTCTTTCAACTTTGAGCCAAATCGAACGAGCCGTTTCTGAAACATTGGCATATTTAAGGAAATAGATTAGAGCGTGCGCAAGCGGAAGAGCTGGATGAAATTTTAAAAAATAGACATGGGACTATCACCAATCCTCACAATCCCTGAAAATTTGAAAATCGGATAAACAGATAAACAGACACCGAACCAAATTTGATCCTTTGTGTCTAAAACGTAAAACTCTAGTGGAAATTTTCGATTCTGAGCACAAACAATTTTTTAACCTCTCGCACGAATACAATGCCTCCCTACTTTCAGTAATTAGGTAGCAAAAAAGATAGTAATGTCGGACCGATGAAATCATCTTGACCGAAAGAAAATAATAGCTTTCCCAAAGTAACCCTTGCTTAAGATAACACGGATTCTGATAATACTACATACAAGGGTGCCAAGGAGAGAGTTTCATGGCGCAAATTACGCCATTAAAATTCGTGAGAGGCCACTATTTTACAGAGTTTTCAATTTTTGAGGGGGGCACAATCCGACGGAGTTATGAATTTTCAAAATGAAAAGTTTCAAATCAAAAGACAAGTGAAATGGACATGGAACAGACCACAGGATGTGTAATGGTATATTATCTATGAATATTCAAATCCTACTTTCGTTTGCACTGTTTTTAGGAAGAAGAGAGGAATAAAATATCTTCTCAGGGGTGTGAGAAGGTTTATGCGCCATCTGCCTTGGGGAGGGGGATGGGCACCCCTGACTACATACATATGCATGTGAGGTGTTCATAAATGCTAATGCTGGTGTCATTTAATATTTATTTGCATTGATTACAGCAACATAGAAATTTAAATATCTATAAATACCAGTGCTTAATATATATATATATATATATATATATATATATATATATATATATATATATATATATATATATATATATATATATATGTGTGTGTGTGTGTGTGTGTGTGTGTGTAAACGAAACATAAATTAAATATAGATTAATGAGATATAAGGAATACAAATACAGTACACTTCTTTATTACTACCACCCTTGTCAAACCGGAGAAATGTCATGGCTCTTAATTATTTATTATAATAAAATATGCAGTCGTATCAGTAAGTGGTTAGTGACAAAACGAATAAATATAATAAATTAAACGGGCGGAAAAATATGTGTTAATTAGATGTTTTAAATAATATTTTGTATCGTCGGTACTTTTGGTTTATTATTTTCAATAATCAACCATTGTGATCGAGACAAAAATTCATAAACTAAACCCCTCAAACTTAAACTCTCAAAATTTGAGGTTTCACGTTTCAGGATGCGTAGAATTCGAAAAACGAATAAAAAAGATTTTCAGGGATTGTGCTGATTGGTGCCTAGATGGTCCCATATCAATTTTATCAAATTCCATCCAGCACTTCCGCTTACGCACGGGCAAACGTATATTTTTATATATGCCAATATTTTGGAAAGGACTCGTTCAATTTGGCTCAAAGTTAGATAAAAGGTAGACTTTGGTGAAAAAATAATGTAGTGTCAATTTTATTGAATTATGTCCACCACTTCCTCTTATATATGCACTACTAGTCCGCCGTCCGCGAATTTTCTCCGAAATTACTGGACCGATTTTTTTTTAATTTTGATATTAAATCAGAGGTCACCTGAGGATGATCCTCCTTCATCGACATTACTATCCGCCTTTAACTTTCAAAATGGCGGTCGAAAAACCTGCGTTGCTATTGACTGTAGTTCCTAAACGAATGTACCGATTTCAATGAAACTTCTCAGTTTCTCGACGCCATTTAAATTTATCTATATAACATACTTCAACGATAAAAAGTTACGAGGGATTGTAAAATTAAATTCCGAATAACTCAAAAAGTTTATACTTTTTCTTCGATATTGTAATATGATGTTTTAAAGGTATTTAAATATCCCAAAAAATGAAGGTAGTTTCATCGAAATCAAAGCACTACTAGTCAAAGCACTATTAGTAGAGATATCACGGTTTTTACATATTTTTGGTTTATTATTTTCAGTAATCAACCATTGTGAAAACCATTGAAAAACTTAACTCCCTCTCAAAATTGAACTTCGCTAAAGTCATTTTCTCGACGCCCTTTAAATTTGTCTATATAACATACTTCAACGAAAAGAAGCTGGAAAAAAAGTTACGAGGGATGGTAAAATTAAATTCCGAATTACTCAAAACGTTTATATTGACGTTGTTGACTAACGGTGTTTATATTCGTCAATATTGTATATGATTTTTTAAAAGTTTAGGAAATTTCCTAAAAAATCGTTTAATCCGGACAATTAGGAGCAAAGATATGGTCTCCGGGTTTTTTTTATATGTTCTATTCCAAATGTCATATCCTTTGTTTGGTTTTTAAATTTTGAATATGTTACTGAAGTAATGCTATTTTTTTTTAGCATGTTACTAATGATAAAAAAAAAGTTTAGTCCAATAATTGGTATTACGTTTTATTTATTTTTCTTTGTAACTAGGAAGGTAATGTTACTTTAGATGTATAATTGTTTGGAAATAATAAACCATTGTGAAATAATTTGCAGCGTTTTCACTTTCACTTCTCTATGTCTATATTGATTTTTACTAAGAGTAGAGTAGTAAGTGTAAGTTGTATGATTAGCGCACTATTTTGTTTATTTTTTTAAACACAGATTAGCTTTTTACTGTGGGCACTAGCGGATCCAGGATTTAATTTTGGGGGGGCTTCAGCCCGAAACCTTTTTTTTCATAAAAATAACGATAATTACTTTGGAAAAACAGAAAGAAACTAACTACCTATATGAAATGGTGTTTAAGTGATACCTAAGGTCCTTTTAAATGTAATTACACGAACAATAATAATTTAAGAGATAATTTTTTAATATTTTGTGAATAAAAAAATGGTTATATTTTACTATTTTTTTGGCGGAGGGGGCTTCAGCCCCAAAGCCCCCTCCCCGTAAATCTGTCCGTGCCCTATAATACAGGCTGATTTTAAAACTGAGCTGAAAAATAAATTCGAAGTCTTGAACGCGGAAGGCCCCACGGTTGACCAACATTGTGAGGCAGTAGATTCAGTGCTAAAACAAACAGCTAAGGAAGAATTAGGGATTGTGGAAAGAGGAAAAGACAAGAAATGGTTCACAGAAGCATGCGAAAAGTATTCCTTAAGTACTTTTAAATGTAATTACACGAACAACAATACTTTAAGAGGTATTTTTTAATTTTTTTTCCCATAAAACATGGTTATATTTTTCCATTTTGGGGGGGGCTTCAGCCCGAAAGCCCCCCCCCCCGTAGATCCGCCCGTGACTGTGGGTATGGATATGAGATCAAAAATATAGTTGTTTATTTACTAAATAAATCAAAAGACTGTTAGAGGAAATATATAGTCATAGAAACTTCCTAATCCATTCTTGGATTGCATAAAACTTGAACGAATAAATATATTTTGATAATATGAGGATGTTAGCAATAGATAAACGGTGGATATAAATACTCCTGATCTTAATTTCGACTTGTAATACCTCCTGACACATTCTCTAAAAGATAATTGCTTTGAATCACATAGCTACATGGTTTTAAAAGGAAACATCACGCTATGATTCTTAGTCAATAGGCGGAATCATGACGTATTGATAAATAATTTCAAAAAATCCTAATTAATAGATAAGTTACTAAATAATGATTTATTTATACTACTCACATAGATGTAAGCCACTCTGACGCCGAACTCCTCACTCAGAGAACTGTAAAGGCACTCGAAATGGTATCTCGACTATATCGTTGAGTGTTCACGATCGGCTACGGAGTCCTGTAAATACTCCAAGATCGGTTTTAGTCAACAAGGTCATCAATCCTAAGCAATGCATTTCGTATATATTTAAATTATTTAATTATAAAATTATTTAATTAAAAAATGGACATGGTTTCGTTTATCTCCGGGAGACAGAATATATGTCAAGAAATGGATGAAGTTAAGGATAACATGTTAGAGATTGTAACGAAAAAGTTGCTGTCACATCCGGCCCATATACAAACCTTAAATACTTAATATCAGTTTCGTACTACTTTAATTAATATCAGCTAGACTGTTAACACACACAAACACAGACCATTTTGCGACACTTAGTTATTTGAAATCAGGGCACATCAAAACATGCATTTCCGTTGAAAACTGAGATTCGAAAATTTTCACGATCGCAATACTTACCCTTACTATATATTACATATATACGTAAGTGAAAGTAAAAAAAAGATGGTTAATCTCAACCAATCTTGATAAAATAAGGTTGTGAGGCCGATATATCTGTCTTGGCTCAAATTAGGGAAAGCAGAGATTTATAAAAAAATTATAAATTGATAAAAAAAAAAAATGGTCAAAGTCTACCTATCTCGATAAAATAAAGTCGTAAGGCCGATATATCGGTCATTGCTCAAGTTTGTGTTTTTGTCGATCCCTTGACGTTGGATTGAAACATTTATTAGCAATAAAAATAATATTCCAACTTTCAATCTCGATAAAATATGGTTGTAAGGCCGATATATTCGTCTTTAGAATGTCGAAATCTGCTCAACTTTATGTTTATGTCGATTTCTTGGCAACTGAGTGACACATTTACTATCAATATAAATAATATTCCAAGTGAAACTCAATGGAATCAAATAAAATAAGTTCGTAAGACCGATATATCGGTCTAATGGGAGAAAAATATTTTTAAGATAAGAACCATAAAAAAAATATTTAATTTAATAAATAAAAGGTCAACTAATAACCAACCTCAATAAATTAAAGGCGTAAGGCCGATATTTCGGCGTTTGCTCAAATTTCTGTTTATGTATATATGAATCGAGATAAAATTATAATAGTTTATGAATTATAATAATTTAAAATCGTAAAGCCGATATATCGGTCCAGTGGGAGTGCTCATTTTTTGTTTTTTAAGAACAGGAGCACCAAGAAAACAACAAAAGATTGTTAAACTCTACCTATCTTGATAAAATAATGGTGAGGCCGGTCTCTGTTCGGATATATATCCGTCTTTGCTCAAATTTATGTTCATGTCGATCCTTTAATCACTGATTGGATCGACTGATTGGATATTTTTTAATCGCAATAAAAATAATATTCCAAATTAAACTATATGAATCTCGATAAAACAAGGTCGTAAGGACTACATATCATCATCATCATCATATGTGGCACGACATCCCGTTACCGAGACTGGGCCTCCTCCAAGAGCCTCCGCCAGTTGGCTCTGTCTTCTGCTGCAGCTCTCCAGTTCCGTACACCAAGCAGGGTTCTCGCATCATAAGCCACGTTGTCCAACCACCTCGTCCTCGGCCTTCCTACTCGTCTTGCGAGGTGCAGCTCCTCCATCATTATTTTCTTGGGTATCTCAACGGTGCTCATTCTGGCCACATGCCCTGCCCACCTTAATCTGGCCAGTTTAATATACGTGACTACGTCGATGTCTGTATAAAGAGAACTGAGCTCCCTGTTTTTTCTTTTCCTCCAGACATCACCCTCCTTTACTGGACCATAAATCCTTCTGAGGACTCCTCGCTCAAACACACTCAGCTTCATCTCATCGTCCAAGCCTCTGAGCCATATGTCAAAACAGGCCGTACAAGGGTCTTGTATATGATCAGCTTGGTCTTCTTTGAGAGATACCTACTTCTTAAGTGTCGGCCAAGTCCAAAGACACATCTATTGGTAGCCGTGATCCTTCTCTGTATTTCTTGAGCCATGTCATTTTTGCTATTAATTTCAGACCCAAGGTATATAAAACTTTTCACTCTCTCAAACATAAAAGAACCTACCTGAAATGGAGAGTTCAGATCCACCTCACCACCAACTCTCATATACTTAGTTTTCCTCTCGTTGACTTCTAGACCAAGTGGTCTTGCAGCTGCTTCAAGGCCTACATATCAGTCTTTAGAATGTTGGTATAAGCTCAAATTTTGGTCAGGGAGGATAAAAAATAGGTTTTTAGAATGTTGGTATCGGCTGAAATGTATATATAGATTTAGCCCTAGATGATTGATTGATACTTTCATTCAGTAATTACGACAATTTTCTATGCGCCGATGTACGGAACCAGACATATATGGAACGAATGGACAATATATAAGATTCTCTGTCTTTTATCGGTCAAAATTTGTGTATAAGGGGATGTGTAGATGGTCTATTAATTGTTTTATTTAGCAATAAGTACGATATGCCATGTGTAACAGTATAAATCTTAAAGAAAAGGGGGGCGATATGGCGAATATATCGGCCATATCGGCCGCCTTTTAATATCGGTATCGGAATATGGAATGTAGACATACGGACTTGAACTGTGGGGGACAGCAAAATTTTCTAGCTTCAAACACATGCAATTCTTTCAATCTAAAAGTCCTTCGAACAATAGTTGATACCCCTTTCTATGTAACCAACAAAACCTTACGCCATGACCTTAATATCCCATTTGTCCGAGACCTTATCTCAGAAACATTCTCAAAATTTCATGAGAACCTTACAAATCATCTATATTCTCTTGCACAATCCCTTGCACCCATCACTATAATCCTGCTCGAAGGTTGAAGCGGCAGTGGCCCAGAGACCTTTTGTCAATAAGCGTACATTGGAGTTATGGCAATGGCCAGATTCTCCACTTATGCCATTTATGTGTGATTATTGCTGGTCAGCCTCTACTGGTCCTTAATACCAGTAATGTGACTCAGTAAGAGATGTGAATGAGATGAGTGAAGGAGATGAGAGAAATCTCCTTGAGTTCTGCCTTTCCTTCCACGAGTGGGGAGGAAGGCTTGGCTTGGAGTTCTCTTGAGTGAATGGATTCTGTAAATATTGTATAGTATGAATGTGTTTCAGTTGTAATTTTGATTAGTTTAGTTCTTTTGTTTATATAGAATTACTTTTAGTATTATTATTTTTCTGTATTATTTATTGTAAATAGAGTTTTAATGTGCTATCTGAATACTATTATAAATGTCCTTAATTGTGACAGATTGTAATAATTCTGAATAAATAAGTCTACAAAAAATATATATGTAATAATTATTTTATGATTTTGTGGAAAAAAATAATAATCGTTTTCAAACCCTGATTACAATCTTATTTTTGGAATTTAGTTTTCAACTTGTGAAAATACTTCCTCTTTTTTATCCTTAACTTAATTATCAAATTCTTTCATAATTCATATTTATCCATATTTTATTAATACTAACAATTAAACTTACCTAATAAGACTGTTAATAATTGCTTATTAAAGCAACTTCAGAGATATATATTTGGAAATTTTACATTTAAGTCATGTCAGACAATTTCAATAGGAACTACCTAATATTAAAAATAAAAACCACTTAATAGGACATAAGTAGATACATTAATTTACAATAATGAGCTATTACTTCAAAATTAACACAGAATCACTGCCTAAACTTGAAAAATCTGTTTTCAATATTGAATGAAAAAGAACATTCTAAAGAAAAATAATCTGACTAACTGAATTCATAGTTAATTCATATAATTTAATACTGAATTGTTAAGTAATAATTCAGTTTTTCAGTCAGTGATCCTGTGTTTTGTATATTTTCTGGGTTTAAAGATATAAGTGAAGTTTGATTGGATAATCAATGTTTTTATTGAAACATAATTGATAAGAAACATAATTTAATCATGAAATAACTACTATTTTTCTTTAGTTTCTTCTTTGATCACTTTTTTGGCAACCGCTATCACCAGGCTGTAGTTGACTGTGATTTCTCCAGTTGATTCATCTTCAGTGATCTGTGGATCATGTCTTATGCAATGCCATATAGTTCTCCTGCATTCACCTATTTGATTTGGATGCAGGCCATCCAAATATGGGTTAACTTTATCTATCACATCTAAAACATAATTGCATGTAAAATAACATTTGATAACTATATAAGAAAAATGTATTGGATTACAGAATAAAGAACAGTCCATAAATATTTAATTTCTTCTAATATGACCGCATGGACAAAAATAAATGAAATGGTTCCTACTAATTTGGTTAATATTAATTTGCTTATAATACTTTTATTACCTACATTTGATGGAGCAATACTTACAACAAGACGAAATAGTATTGGGGAAAATAAGAATCCAGGCATTGCGATTGGCATTGGGGGTAACCTGGGAATAGGCCTTCCAGGAAGGAGGTGTGCCAGCAGCAGTGCATACCATTTTGGATGGTGATGGAGAAACGGCAAGAAACGGAAGCAGTAAACGGCAGCTCCTGCAGGCTTAGTTAGATAGCCTTATGGGAAAGGATGTACAAGAATCTTAAGCTTCGGTATGCAACTTGTCTACAGGTAGAGTGCCTCTATATCAATACTCCTGGTCCTCCAGGTTGGGGATTCAGTCTGGGCCGACACCCCATTCTTGTAAAAAAAACAAATGTCGCTAATACTTAACAAAGAAAAGCAGTCTCTATAGAAACAATATGGAACTCAGAAAAGTACAAAACCAATAAAAATGGCCAATTGGAATGTCAGAATCCTATTTGAGCCAGGAGCAAGCAGGATTTTCGAGAATATGCTAGCACGATACAGGATATATCTTGCAACAATACAAGAAATTAGATGAAGGAATATTGAACTGAGGGAGCTACAGGATTACATCCTTATTAACAGTGGATATTGGGAAAACGTAGTAGGCACTGGATTCTTAGTAAAGAAAAATATAAGACATGCAATAATGGACTATGCACTGGTAAATGAAAGAATCCACACTCTCAGAACCAGAGGAAAGTTCTTCAATGTAAGCCTGGTTAGAGTTTGTGCACCAACAGAGGATAAAGATGAGAATCAAAATGAGGCTTTCTAAACTAGGCTTGAGTCCACAATTAACAGATTACCAAGACGTGATGTCAAAATAGTATTAGGTGACTTTAATGCTAAAATCGGAAGGGAAGAAATGTTTCGCCCTACTATCGACCCACCCACATAGCTTGCAGGTGAGGAGTAATGATAATGGATTTAAAGCAATTGACTTTGCTACCTCGGTGGGGTTCAGTATTGTAAGTACATATTTCGACCATAACAGTACTGACCATAAGTAAACATAGGTTTCCCCAGATGGACTAACTAAGAACCAAATAGATCACCTAATGATTGGAAAAAGGCATGCTACAGATGTCACAGATGTTCGAAGCTTCAGAGGCGCTGACTGCTCATCAGACCACTACAAGTTTTTAATACAATACTGCCAAAGGATTGCCTACCAACCAAAGGAACAGACAGCAAAAACCAAGAAGTATTGCCTGGAGAAACTGAAAGACCCTGACGAGAAAAAGAGGTATGTAGAACGGGTAGCAGTAAAGCTACAAGAATCTATAAATGGAAACAATGTTTTGGAAGCTAGATGGGGCAAGATGAAGTAAGAAGTTACGGAGAGAGCTTCCTAACGGATCCAGGATTTAATTTTTGAGTGGGCTTCAACTCGAAAGATTTTTTTTGTATGTGTATATTATGATAATTACTTCGGAAGAAAGAAAGAAACTAACTATTTATGTGAAATGGTGTTTAAGTGATTCTTTAAGTCCCATTAAATGTAATTAGATGAACAATAATACTACATGGTTATATTTTACCATTTTGGGGAGGCTTCAGACCGAAAGCCCCTCCCCGTGGATCTACCTGTGAAACAGCTAATGAGACCCTATTAATAAATCATGGGAATCCCCAAAGCACATGGTTCGATGAGGAATTCAGGAGAATGGTAGACAAAAGAAATAGGGCCAGACTGACAGTGCTTCATAGAAGTACCAGAGGAAACATAGAAAGGCATAAAATCCTTAGGAGAAGAGTCAAGACCATGTGCAGAAAAAGAAAGCGAGACGAGGAAAAAGCAAAGTTTCTCCAAATGAAAGAGGAGTGGGGAAAGAGAAATAAAAGGAAGTTCTTTGGTATCCTCAAAGAACAAAAGGAAGACTTCAAGCAAAGGATAGGCTTTATAAAGAACGATAATGCTATGAAGCCAGCGATATGGTGGAGTATATAGCTCGTAGCAATCCATCTGGAAGACTCTACTTAATAATTATTGCCTCTATAATTATATAAATAATAATTATTGAAGGCAAAAGACCACGTGGAAGGCCAAAAAGCAGATGTATAGACTGTATACAATCAACAAAGATTTAATAGAGCTGCATGCAGATAACTGCAAACAAATAATGCAAGACTGGAAGAGATGAAACAGGCTAGTCAACAGAAAAATAAAAGGAAATGAATAACTTTGTTTTAACTGGAATAATAAATTAAAAATTAATGATATTGTGACAAAATTATACAATTATCTTTCTGAGAATAGGTTAATCTTACCCATGTATACATCAAAAGAAGGATAAACAGTGCTGCTCATTTTCATCCAACAATAAACATGACTGAAACCAATCTCATCAAGTAATCTTCGAATAAAACCTACTGGCTCAGGTGCCTTATAAAACCAGGAAAAGTTCTAAAACAAGTAACAAACATTTCATAAAGATAACAGTTTGTTTAAATACAATGATTTAAATTTAATTGGAATGAATGAAAAATATAAAATTTAAAAACCCAGAGAGATATGGGGTTATACATTAAATTAAATATTTATAAAATAATTGGTAACTAAAAATAAAAGTAATCAGTGTATGTATATTTACATATACATACGTTATTTACATACAAAAACATTTATGTATGTACACATTTATATACGTACACACACACACTCACACGCATGCACACATACACACACACACACACACACACACACACACACACACACACACACACACACACACACACACACACACACACACACACACACACACACACAAACTGAAACAAATAAATAAACATAATCATTGTTAGAAGAGTTCTCTCATGCCCATCTGATGATTAATCAAATTGAGAATGGAATAAGTAATTAAAGAGAAGAGATTTGAAAGAGGAAAATAATAGGGCAGCTAAATGTCGAGTTAAATTAAAAGAAAGATTCCAGTTAACAGGACCTCTTGCGAATGACAGTGCAGAAGGTTTGTGGACGGGTTCCAAGGAAACGTTAAGAATTAATGGACTATGGTCAGAGGAAAGTTCGCTTAAGTATGTAATGGAACATTGGAGGGGGCATAAGCCACTGTGGATGAAGAAATCGAGGATATGAGGATTACGGTTAGGATCTATGGGCCAGTAGGTAAGAGAGTTGGGAGAAAGGAGGTGGAAACATTATTGTAGGGATTGAGTGCAGACAGCAATGTTCGGTCACGAGAATTAGTGGTTCTTGAACTCCATTGCTGGTGTTTGGCATTTAAGTCTGCACCCAAGATGAAGTTATGCCCTAGGGAGTCGAGGAGAGAACTGAACTGGGCATTGGATATAGATCAGTTAGGGCAATACACTGATGCTTTGGTATACTTTTTCGATCCCTTGAGTTGGCTCTAAGTCTATGAAAAATAACATTGGAAAAACTGGTATGGTGTGAAACCTAAAGTTTTCAGTTCTTCTTCTATTGCTTCAGTTTGTGTTGAGGGGTGTAGATTTCTTATAACTACTGCTAAAGCTCGCTTTTGCCGTAATTGATACGTACTACAATCCGCTTCGGTTTCTGTTAGATATTTCACAATTTTTCTGTAGGTTTCAGATGTATCTGGTGATATTTTAGTGTCTTTTGTTCTGCTGAGACACGAATAGCTTCCAGAGCCTGTTATTTCGTTTAGTTGAGAACATAGTAACTGACATTTTTTTATGTTTTTAATGAATATCGGTGGAGGTCAGGGATCTTTTGGTATCAGAGCGGACTCCATCTCATCTCTTTATCGTTCTGAAGCACCTGATAGGGGTTGGGTCTAAAAAAGTGAGATTCTTCAGTTGTTTCTTGTGACGAAGTACCTGGCTGGTGGTTTCATGTTGTCCAGAGCAAATAGGGTCACTAACAAGAGGTAACATCCGCTGTTATATATAGTAAATATTTGGTAAATAAAAACAAAATATTTAGTAAATTATTGTATCAACAAATACAATATTTTAGTATTGTAAATTCCTGAACAAGAAAATTAAGCTCTAAAAATACATACATATATAGTTTAAAAAATTAAGAATTTTTATATAAATGTAAAACAACAAAATATTTATAAAACAGTTTACCTTATAAATTAAATGATACAACAAATCATCATGACAATATTAATCTATCATATTTTTATTAAAAAGAGAAACTTTTAATACATACTGAGAAAAGTCTCTCATACAAAGGGAATTGTTTCACCCTCTCAAAAGCACGGTACATAGGATTGTCTGGTGTAAGAAATATTAACAAAATATCACCATTATTTTTCAACAATGAATACATGTTGCCAAGAGAACGCCTAAAACAGAACAATGCAATTAATTAATTTTAAAATACGTTGATACGTTGATATATAATATATATTGTAATGTCAATATTACAAAGTGTTTTTGAATATTGGCTTGAAGGTGGGGACATCACGAACTACTGACAGGAAGTATAGATGGCGGGAAAAGCAAGTCCCATAGGTTAAAGGCAGAAGGTAGCCAGCCGGCTAGGATGGAGCATCGTGAGAAAAAGTTGTTGGTCCCCAAGTAGTGAGTGTCAACATTAGAAGGTTGTGGAAGTGAATGCACCAGTACAGAAGAAAAGTAGCTGCATCACAGGGTGAGTGAAGAACATATAAATGGACAGATCGAACGCTCGCCGAGATTAGACCCCGACAAATAGAATGGAAATTTATAAATAAGTGTTATAAAATTATGTATGCCTTTTTATTGTATAATTTAGGATGTGTGTTAGTTGTCTAAACCCAACTTGGGAAATAATTATTGTGTGAGAAATAAATATATTGAATAAGAAATTGGTTGTTTACTTTTGAAGGAAACAAGAACATTACAATATATATATATATATATATATATGTGTGTGTAATAATTTTAATATCTATCTCAGGTAAATTGTTGAAAGAATAAGTCACAAACTTAATGGTTTCCTGCTTTTCAACTTTTTATGATCCCCCAAAGTTGTATTTATTGATTTGCATAAGGAGAAATCATTAATTTTTAAATGTTTAAAGTAAATTATAAAAGCTAAAATAAAGGTTTTCCAAAAGAGAAAATGCCATTGTTTTACACACCCACTCTGGACTTAAACAGAAAGAATATGTACTTAAAATTGCTGCATTAATTAGCACTAAATTTATCCATTACACTTCAAGAATTCCAACTCCAGATTTTGCATACATTTCAGTTCTTGTGAAGTAATTGATAACCTTTTAAAGAACCATAAATCGTATCATATTAACGCCTACACGACCTGGTTATATATACAATAAAGATTTATTAATACATTTAAACCCAGTTACAAACTTCAACAGTGAAAAATTGCCGACCGCTCTCAATTGCCGATCGCTCCTTACTAGACTTGTCTACTCAAACTTTACCCACCAACAGTAATACCGTACTACCAACCCTAGGCTGTCACCATGACAACACGTCCATATCAATACAAACTAATATATACGAGACTAATAAGACCGGCTACAAATTTAGAGCAGTGCAGGCGCAGCACAGGGGCAGGAGAGGTGTAACTGTAGGTGACATAGCTTCTAGTAAAGAGCAATCTTCACAAATTGAATCTAGCTAAATCTACCTGGTTCCGGTAGACGTGGACGCTAAGCTACTAGACATAAATAGACAGTGGGTCCCTATAGATAGGTTATTAGAGAGCTCTGACAACTAATTAGCCCACAAAATTGTTCTTCTACATATATCTATAAACCTTTTTTCTTTTTTATATACATGGATCCTGGTACCGAAGTGACGTATGTCAACAAGACTAATCCTCTGTATTGGTGCAACTACACGGAGGAAAGAATATACGAATCATAGACCACTGAGTGAAGCAGTAGAGGTGAAAAAATGTAGGAAAATTAAAGAAAAACTTAATTTTTGGAGAACTGCAAAGAGAAGAAATCAACGCGAAGAATTTTTGTCTTGGCAAGGATGTGTTACAGTCACAGGCAAATCTATGGGGGGAAGGAGAGGGAGGGGGCTTTCGGGCTGAAGACCTCCCCAAAATGGTGAAATATAGCCACGTCTTATGAAATAAATATTAAAAAATGATCTCTAAAAGTATTACTACTCGTGTAATTGCATTTAATAGGACTTCAAGAATCACTTATACATCATTTCATATAGTTTTATTCTTTTTCTTCCAAAGTAATTATCGATATATAAGGCTGAAGCCCTCCTGCAAAAATTGAATCCTGGATTTTTGGTTACGGTCATAGATCTATAGAGGTATCTCTCACCCTGGAACTCATTCTGTTGGACTGCCAGGCTCTAATGGATGCAAGGAGAGATTGCAGCATAAATACCAAGATAGACATCGTTCTTGGCCACCTGAGACTGTTGTTGAAAATTTAATGAAGTTTTTAAAAACATCTAAACACCATCATCTTATTTAGACAACTCAAACATAACAAATTACATATGTGAAAAAGTATAATAGATACCATTAACTATGTAAGTGTTCTCATAAACTGTGTAACCATATTTAGATACTATTAACAGTGTAATATTCTAAGTTGAAAAATACAAATACTGTAAATATCAAGAGCTATGTAGTATATGCTAAAATCTCGGAATGGGAAGTTGTATTTGTTAAATAAATAAATAATTTATTTTCTTCTTCTGCAAGCTGTTGTAGCAATTTTAGAATCTGTTCTTGCATTAAAGTTGGTACCACATCTCAGGTTTCAGTATTTGAGTTAATAAATATAAATACAAAAAAAAAAAATCGTGAATAAATAAAACTGTTAAATATTTCCCCCTCTCCTTCCTCGTCTTTCAGGCTATATGGGATTTTTACCAAGTCAGGGATGAGAGCATGGGATTAATGCCAGAGTTAAAAGACCGTCCCCCCCCTCTGGCACCAGCATTTGAACTTGTAAACTTCGGTTTATCACTGGAAAAACTGTTAACTATTACAGCATATTGGATTAAATGTTAAAAAAGGATATTATAAAATTGATTTATTAAATTATAGTTATTTGAAAGATAAAGTTACTTATGCATTTATATGAATAAAATTTAATTAAATGAAATTATATGAATCATTTAAATGATTTAACAGATAAAACAAACAAAATAAGTATTTATTAAACCGTAATAAATGAAATCTCCTTACGGACATGCAAAGAAAGTAAAATCAATCACAAATACTAAGCGAAAAGAAACCCAATTCTCTTGAATAGCGAAGTTGTATATGACTATGAGTCATAAATTAGTAATATCCAGGACTGACAAGATTATGAGAGGGTAGCTACTAGGAATTCTACATTCACAAGTAGAAACATGATGTCATATTTTATTTCTAGAGATAGGAGTATTTGGTTAATGACAAAAACGAGAATCCTAATAAAATTGTGGCATCTATATAAGATAGTTTGATACATTATTGTAGTAATAAAATCTTGTTTGCTTTTTCCAGTAGCTACTTTGAGGAAAAAAAGATGAAGATAGCTCCTGAGATGAGATGGAAGCTTTTAAATAGAAAAGATGTCCTCAGGGGCCGCTCCTTACTTTAGCTCTACGGTAATGGGTTTTTGATGAGTTGCAGGTTGTGCTGGAAGATGAACAGTTCCTGGTTAAAGAATAATTCAATGCTTTGACTGCCTTAAATATCAGAACGAAGCAATAGGAAGAACATTAACCTGATGACAAGATGATGGGTCAGAAAGAAGCTGGAGCTGAATAGTGCTGAAACATAGGCCACTCTCTTGTGAGGAAAAACTGACAGGGCTAACCCTATCACCTTACAGGTCCAAGGTGAGAGAATTGGCTCAAGTGAGATGAAAACCTACCGGGGTCTTCCACTTCTTTAGAGGTAATGATTGCTTTAGAGCAAAACTATAATTCTAAAAAGAAGCTTGATCACCTAATCTGAACTGTGATTGACATTTCAAAAACAGCTGAGCACTTTACCGAAACTGACTAAGAAATTGTAATGAACTATCCAAAGGCAATGAAACAGGTTCTGGAGAAAAACAATATTCTCCATCCTTTAAAGTGTCCATTCACTTCAACTAAGCTTAGAAGAAGGCAAACTAATGGATGGAGGTGAATGAACTTCATTGTTCTGTAACTTTATAATGGCAGAGATAGCATCTAAGATATATTCCTTCTGGATCCAATGTTCCTCAATGGCAAGAAATAACATAACACGAGTAAATAAATGACCAAAAACATACAGCAATATTTAAAAAAAAAAAAGTTTGTTAATCATTTTAGCAACTGAAAATTATATAGATAAATAAATAAAAAATACCTGTAATTCTGCATCCAGTGAATACAATAAAAAGAAAAGATTTTATGGAAATAATCAAACCTCCAATTAAAAAACAGATCTACAAACTGAACATCAATTTCATGAAAAGACAGTCTCTCGTCCTTTCTAACCTTCTTACAATATTCAATTTTTTCACCAGATGAATCCCAACCAATCTGCATAAAAAAAAACAGCAAGAATAAAAGAAATATAAGGATAATAGCAACAATTGTTTATTTATACACAGGATGTTCCGTAATTAGAGAAAAATACTTAAAAGGTTGATAGAAGGCATCATGATCTACCAAAACGTTAATATGAACAATTACCCAATTTTCAGTAGCAAAGTAGGAAATCTAAGATGAGTTTTTTTAAGCGAGGCAAGTTTTTTGATGAATGGGAAGTGATAACTTAAAAAAAATTGATTTAAGTAATTAAACATTGCTCCATAGTAGACTATAGAAAAGTTTCTTTAAACAAAAGTTAAGTTTGTCATTCTTAAGACTATTTAAAGAGGACTATTGGGCAGACAAACACAGCTAAGTTCAGTTTAAAAAAGTCATAAATTATTTGAGATTTTTTTTTATCATCCTCCAACTATACTACAGTTATCCCCCTTTTAGAAAAACATCCTCGATTAGTAAGCATTAAGTCCATATTAATTAAATTGAGGTTCATTACAGAAAATTTTGTGATTAACCTCAAGTTGTGTAAAGAAATGATATGATTTTCTATCCAGTCACCTTAAACTGCCAGTGTTTTCTGCAAAAATAATACAATTAACAGTTGCAAAGCTTTCAATTCTTGTTTTTCAGTACGGGATGTATCGTAATAAAAATAATTGCCTAAAAACGCATTTTATTTATAAATACAAAAAAAATTTAAAAATAATGATCTTTTAAATATTTTTCATGCAAGGTGGTTATGAAATTGTGTTTTTCTCCAAGATTTCTGTCCTTGGAATTGATGTGTACACTTATCTTACAGCAGGAAGACATACAACTTTAATCTGAATATCCATAATGTTTCCATACATCTATAATATCTCAATTCTATTTGTATTCCATGACATTTCCCTCAAATTTATTATCTGCTTTACTTAATATTACATCCAAGGTTTTGTTAAGGTTCAGCCTACGTCAATCATCATTATGCTAATTGAATCTCATTCTGTCAATAGAGCAGCTTTGAGATTTTTTTGAATTCAAATTGATTTTTTACACGCCTATACTACCTTTTCTGATTAATAAAAATAACATAATATTACTAGCAATGTTAAAGAAAAATCAACTGTATGGAAACTTTTTTGATGCAGTGTATCACCTCCATGCACAACTTTTGACCAAGAACTAGTACTTCCTTATAAAGTACTGTACCCGAGACTCTTTGTGGGTACAGGTGTTTTTAAAAATTGATTGATATTTCTTTAATAGGGTTTAACTCTAAACCAAAGGAGTTGGTATAATACATTTCATATTATTATACATTTCAACCACACCTCTTATATTATAATCTTAAATATAAATAATAAAATCAATGATACCAACAGTCATTAATATTCAAAATATCAGTTTTGCAAAAGTAGGATCTATGTACATTTATTTATTTAGATAGGATTTATATAGAGGATATCAAGGATTAACTAAACAAAAATAAATAACATTATATAACAAATTTCCCGTCGTACTATCTTTACCTTGAAACAGTTTAACCGTCTCCGCTATCTCCTTCCATATAAATCTCAACAACTCCTTGTATTCCCCCACTTTAACTACCTGGCTGGTGGGCGGCGGACTCTTGGGAGAATTTGAGGCCAAACTTAAACGCCTGATGAACTGCGCAATACGTTTTGTTTTCGGAATCTCAAGAGATACGCATATAACCTAGTATTACACCAAGTTGAAGTGGCTCTATCCATCCAACCGCCATCTATACTTCCTTGCTACCTTTCTATACAAAGCCATCAGAACTCAACGACCTTTCTAAATTTTTCAAAGCCTACAATTTAAATATTCCATTCAATCCCGTCCCACTAGATCCCCTACTTCTGACCTCTATCCATCTCCTCACCCAACTGCTGCATTTGACCAATCCTTTATAATTCAAGCCGTCTCCACCTGGAATACCATCCCTCTTGATATCCGACATGCGCAATCAGTTTCCTCATTCAAATCTCTCCTTTTTAAATACCTACTTCTTTCCCAACCCGATTGATCATGAAAAGTAGATAAGAGAACTTTTTAAGTTCCTCCAGAAATGGTTTTGTTTAATTGTGTTATTTTATTTTCACACGTTTATATTGTATATATCTGTATGTATTTAGTGGTTTTGTTTTATTTTTCTTCCAGTATTTTTATTTTAATGATCATTGCAAATATTTAATTTAATTTTATGGCCACACAGGCATTTTCTCTGTATCTATAATTTTTTCTAAAGGGACAAAAGTCCCAGGATAATAAAAATCTATTTTCATTTTCATTTCATTTATATACCAAAAAATATATCCCCTAATAGAAAGAAAAAGTTTTCCTTTTTTCTTTTGCCAATTGATTAATAACTGGCTGAAAAAAAAAATTATATGGTTTCTTAAATTCATTGAGTGCATTTAAAGAAAGAAGCACAGCCAAAAAAATGTTTTACTTTAATTTTGATGAATTTTGGGTAAAACATTGCTTCGGGTTCAATCATATATATTTAGGGGACATTGTGCTAACGATTATAGTATTATTCATTTTATATAGGTTTTATTGATGAAATAAAATATAGAGGTATTTTTACTTGTATAATATTCATGCTTAACTAATGTGGAATTGTTGAATGTATTTTTGATCATTATTTTAAGTAATTAAAACATTAAGTGTCTTGCATGGATGTGAGAGTTTTTAAATAGACTAAAAAATAAATATAATAAGAAAATTAACGTTCTCCATTGGAATAAGTAACATTTAAACAAAAGAAAGATTATGGGAGTGATTTTTTTGAAAATAAAAAAAAAATGAGAAAAGTGGTTATTATTTATGTGGTGTTGAAAGAAAGAAGTATGGTGGCTTGGGACAATTAGGTCCAATCCAGTTACGGATCCAAGTCAGAAAAAATGCATAGAGCCTAATGACGCCTCCAACAGGATGGACATGTTGAGTTTTGGATCCAAAGAAGTCAGTATGTGATCAGTGGTTTAAATGTAAAAGTCAGTGACTTTTAACAAAATGCATATCTATTTACTTATTTTCCTTTAACTCAAACAGGATCCTGAAGAACAATGTCAATTGTTTAAACATCAAAAACAGTAAATAGTAATTTTAAAGTTAAGCATCTTTTTTTTATTTCAAATTCTTCATTGTTATAAATTACACATTTGTATTATTGTACATATTAATAATGTTTATAAATATAATTAGAATAAGAATTAGAATATGAATAAAACTTATTTACCAGAGTTGCATGCTGTGGTAAAAGGGGTAAAAGAATATCCTTAGTTACTTCACCAAGACCACAATCAGCGTCTAGGACAACACACTCCTCTCCACGCCAATCAAATTTCCTTATATGTTTTTCTAATGCTTCAATTATATCTGCTTTTTCAATATAAGCTGGATTGCTAGGCACTTCAACCCTCTGGGCCATTTCAAGGAGACTGAAAAAATAAATAGATAAGTGAATTGTTTTTAATGATAACATTTTTGTTTTAAATATATACAATCATTCAAAATTGATCCTAATTTCAAACATTTTATGGAACTTACTAGGAAAAAATGTGTTTAACTAAATTAATATAAGGCAAAGGCATACCATTATTTACTTATGAAAGTGTAAACATAAAAATCACTAAAATATTATGGATGTCCTGTAAGTAGAGAAATATTTATAGGAGTAACACACCTTAAGAGCTACAAAAAGTTTCTGTAAGCAATGATCCAATTTCTTGCCGAAAAGTAAGAAATCTCAAATTTCTGTTTTTTTGAGATGATTATAATAATTACATTTAAAGAGAAGTTTTGAACGGATAAACTAAGCTAAGTTCTGATTTTTGGAATGATTCATGATTTTTTTAATCATGTATCATTCCCAATTTTTTTATCATTTATAACCCACTTTTAGCAAAATTTTCTTTTTAATATGCTTTCAGTCTACATTATTTAAGAATACATTCTGATCAACCCAATGCCAGCTTTAGACTATCACCGGCCCCATCTTCCTCCCCACCTACTATAAAAAATTAACTTTTTTTTCTTAAGCTGTTTTATATTATTAATTATTCAAATTTTATTTAATTCAACATTTTTCTAATACAGTTACTTCATTGATAGGCTAAAATTAATTATTTAAATTTCTTTTTTTTATTTCTAACAAGTTGGGAACACTCCTGAATATTGGCCATTATGTGGTTTGATATTCTGTCATCCAAAAGTACTTCTGTTCTCAGCAAAATGACTGAAATAAATTATTAGTAGACTTTAATTTATTTTCTCCATTACCTTGGATGTGTTATAATAACTACACTTTTTATTTATTTATAAAAAATGTTGAAATTATTGATTTATCATCTGAAGGAGGGCTCTACAAACAAACCAGATCTGGCCTGAAAGCATCTCCAACCCAGCTTTCAAAAGTTTCTTTGATTACATGATAACATTTTGAAAATGTGAAATTTAGCAAATTACAGCAGGGGGATTTAATGGAGGTCTCAATGTTCCCCATGGGAAAAAAAGTTTGGAGACTCTTGATCTAAAGTGATAATGGAACAGTGTTTTTCATTAAGATTTCTAAGGTGACTAAAGCCGGACTCACATGATGCCGTAAGTGCTATGAAAGTTCGTTCTGCAGGGCACTTACTGCATCGTGTGACTGTAGTGGGAGTGGTGAGTCGTGAATGTGAAGTGACAAATGTTGGTGCATTGCTCAGGTTTCACGATGCCCTAAACGTTCAGGGCATGTAGTTCACCTCATGGCCCAATGACGAATATTTGCTCTCACAGTATTTCCTACCAGGTATGGGACATGCAGTGAACATTTCTGGACATCATAGGAATTCTAGGAATCAATAACCGCTGAGTATATATTTATGTTTTCTATATCTGTACTGTGAAAAGCTATAATGGACATTAAAATCAATAATTTTTATTACTTGTTTATTATTTAATTTTATTGATCGTTTCTCATGGTGTAAAATAATTAATAAAGCCAACTGTATTTTAATTTTATTGTAATTAATGTTGTTTAATTTTGAATAATCCTGATGTTCATTTAGTAAATTTTGATTAAATAAATACAGGATTTTATTTAAATTCACAAGTGAATTATACCTATTTTTTTGTTTTTTTCCACTGAATACCAATATATTGAAATCATTAATGCAGAAAGAAGATACAGTAAACACAAAATAAGTATTTCCAATAAATGAATGGTATATTAGAAGACAAAGATCCCTTTAGAAAAGTATGAGTTCTTTATAGATTATCTTATTTGTGACAAAATAAGGACCATAGAGGATTTTAGATTGTAAGGATTGGATACGAGAGGAATTTGATGGTTTAGTGGAACCCCATAGCTCAACTCTGTAAGTCTAAATAGGTCTTATTATAGTCATGTATAAGAGCCTTTTTTAATTAATTAGAAGTTTAGAGCTTTTGTCCAATAAGTGTTGGAGTAAGCGGGAATGTTGAGTAGTTTTTTGCCGTATCAGTCTTGTATGAGCATTCCAAGTGAGACGTTTGTCTAGGTGGAGTCCTAGGTATCACATTTGTTCTACAGAGATAAGTGGAGTGTTATTGAAGGATACTGTAGGACAGAAAGTCATAGGTTTACGACAAAGGGTAAAGGTGATTTGATGGGATTTATTGGAATTTATTTTAATCCTCCAGTTTTGACACCATTGTTCAAGATTTATGATGATAGGATAGGATCAAGAACACTACCTTGAGGAACACCAGCAGATTGAGAAAAGAGGGATGAATAGGTATTACTGTGTTTTACTTTGAAGTGTATATCAGTAAGGTAGGAACTGATGATAAGAAAATATGTAGGGGGAAGGAATTTACAAAGTTTTTACAGCAATCCCGGGTGCGAGACTCGATCAAACGCCTGTTCAACATCGAGAAAGACTCCAGTGCAATAAATTCCGCGATCCAATGCAGGAGAAGACAACGTCTACCATATGATGGCATTGCTGGATCGTGGAATGGGATGTGTGGAATCCAAATTGATCTAGAATAATGTGGTTAGAATCAAGGATGGGATACAGGCGTGTTAAGATGAGCTTTTCCAGGATTTCATCCATGATGGGTAAAAAAGAGATAAAAAAAATAAAATAAAATATAAAAGTAAATATATATATGAATAGTGCAGGTACCACGTGCACAATTAAAGCTATTAAGTAGCAGCAAGTAGAGCACGTTAAAATTAAAATTTTGAAATTTATATTTCCAATGACAATGGTTAAGGCTATGTACTAAACAATAACATAAAATTAAAAAAGAACATTGTTTACAGAGAAGTAAACAATGCATAAAAATGGATTTAAACTCAGTTGAAATTGCTAATTTAAATTTATTTTTTAACTTGCTTAATGAGTAAATAAAAAACATAAATTAAAATGGAAACTAAATATTTTGAAAGAGTATTTTTTATTACTTGTAAATAATTTTTGGCAGTTTAAGCTCGATTTTTAATTGAAATTGAAATTTTGTTTATATTAATAAATGAGGGTTTTTAATCACAATTTACTCTTTATTTATTGAATTTATTTTAATTTAATTATATTTTCCTCAAATTTTTAATAACTATGGTCGAATTACGACGACTGGGCGAACACTTAATATGGTTTGGTTCTCTTCTCCTAAATGTGAAACAATTACCTTTTGTATTACATTATTCATTTCATTAATAATAGCACATAATATTTATAAATTATGATAGATGAATTCTCAAATCAAAACAAACAAGCTAACTAATTAAAATAATTAGTTTATTTGATTTTTTGCAATGACTAAACAGAACATTAAATGTTCTAATATACATTTAACTTATTCCAGTTCAAGCAACTTGGACATTAGTAAATTGCATTAAGCAAAATAAATTAATTGATAAAACTAATTAAGTATGTATATATTTCAGAAGACCAGAAGCCAAAGTTTTAGGAAAAAGTTTACAAATACTTTTAAAAACATATGATTAACTAATTATTAAACTTTAAGAACAAACCTGAGAGAGTCTAGTGGATAGTAAGTAACTATGGAGAATTAACTAGACAGGTTTATAATTCCTACCCACACTACCTTGTTGGCAGGACATTCTGAAGGTACCTATGTATTAACAATGTTTATTTTTTCAGGAATAAGCCAAGCAGTGTAAACATCAGTTTAATCTTTCTCACTCTCTCTCTCTCTCTCTCTCTCTCTCTCTCTATATATATATATATATATATATATATATATATATATATATATATATATATATATAAATATAAGATGATAAAAGAACAAATAATTTAAGTAATTAACAATTCTTCCTCAAAGGTGTAGACAAAATTTACATCAAATGAAATTTTACCAGTGCTAAAACAATTTAAAGATCACAGCAGCTAAACTAATTTCCATAAATTATTATGGAATTATTGAAGGAATTTAGTCGACTGTTCTATATATCATGGGTGATAAATACTCAGGATGAAGTCATCATTAAGTTTTTATTAGTGCTGATGTTTCAATCCAAACAAGTGGGTTATCAGGGCTGAGAATGTTTTTAAATACAATCAGAAATATAATATTATAGCACCGATAATAGTTAATAATAAACTATTGTGATTGATGGTACATGCATCTTAACTAATATTACAATACCATATATTACAAATGAAATATGTAAAAAATTATGGAAACTAAAAATAAAGTATGTAGTCCATTTATAAAAATTGTAATATATCCTCTTACAAACCGGTGGTTCGAGCACTGAAGGTATTCGAGTACTGACACATTTGGAGGGCAAGTAAAAGGATTGGGGAGGATTTCCCAGTTGTTCTTTTTCTGATAGCAAAAGTTAGATAAACATAGTGGGGGGAGGAAGGTAACATTTCTGTTTGTACAATGTAAATAATTTGCTGACTAAATATTCAGAATGTATACAAGATTTGTGTTTTTTCTTATGTTTACAGAATTGTGACTATTGGCTAGTAATGAAATGAACATAAGTGAGATGTGCTAATCAATATAAATATAACATAGTTTGATTGAAGGTATACAATGGTTAGCCAAATAATATTTATAATAAAGACAATTGTAATGGATTGAAATGATACATAGGACAATATATTATACAATGTTTTAAGAATAACAATATTAATCATACTAGAAATATATATTACTAGTAGGCCCATGCGAAAAATTCCCACAGCATATTATTAAGTGATCAAATGCAAAATTAATAAGAAAAAAAAAAATGCAACGTATCATAAGATAAAGAAATCAATTGTTACTTTATCGATAAATATAATCGACAAAGAAAACAAAAATGAATTTAAAACTTTATTAATGTTTGGAACTAACATGTTTACAAATTTCAATAAGTTGTATCTTTGCTGACAATTGTCCGATTTCGATTTTTTTTTTTTTTTTTTTTTTTGCCTTTTGTAGAGAATTTAGTAATATTTTATATAATCATGGACTCAACCTAGTGAAAAGTGTGTAATTTTTTAGTTATTCACAAATAAAGTTTCTTTTGTTGCTTAACTTTTTTGCCTGAATTTTCGGGTTTATAGAAATATTTTGCCCGCTTGAAGGAGAAGGAAGCCTTCAAAATTGGTGGCTCAATCTTGAGATTTGGTGAAGAACGATGATGTGGCTTGCCGACAAAAAACACCTTCGATAAATAATATTCGATAAATAATTTCTCCCTCGAGCATAGGGGCCTCAAGTCGACGAAATGAGGCATGTATTCAATGACAGTACTAAAATTAACGTAAGATTGTGTGGATGAGAACCCTTTGTCTTGCTTTATCTCAAAAATAGTACGTTTTTGGGCTTAAAAACGGAGGGATCGATAGTTCCGAGGGAACTTTCCGGGTCTTACTGCACGCATCAAAATCTTCAAAGCCCGATTTGTCCCGTATTGATTTATAGACTTACCAGCGTTCCAGTATTGCAGCCTAACAAAATGTTTGTATTGATTTTATTTATTTATTTAAAAAGAAAAACAAAAGAGGAGAATACGATTCGCTAACTCCCCGTGAAGTTTTTAATCCAACGGTACCCCATTCATTTGTATTTGAGCATCACAGGAGCTTATATTTGGTACAAAATCGATTTTGAACTATAATAATATATGTGGGGATGGGGATATTAAGGATTCTATAGTTTTAATAGTAAAAGTATAAACATATCTGTGCCTGTTTATAGTATATATTTATATTGAGAATGGACATTATATGTATGTGCATATATATAACGTAGGGGTAGTTAGCTATGTAAGTTGGCGGGGAAAATGAAAAACAAATTTTAAATGATTATAGACTATTGTTTTAGGAGGCGGAAAATATTCTAATATATTTTGCAGATCTTTTGTTTATCTACTTTGTGGTTTACCGGATTATTTATTTCCAAATTGATGAATATTGATTCAGAAAGTAGTCGTTTTTAATGATTTGGAACTGTGGCAGGTATGGTTGTGTTTTCAAAATCTGTGGTTAAGAGTTATGGCTTGTTCTGCTAGTTCGAGGCGAGCGGGTTTCGTTTGGAGTTGCTGTATATGTGTTGATATATTCTTTTTTGGTTTCTCCTATATAAGAATTGAAATTTAGGCATGTGATATGGTATAGAATATTTGATCGTTGTAGAAGCGGAACAGGATCTTTGAGTTTGGTGTATAGATTTCTTAATTTATTGTTATTTTTGAAAACATTTTGTAGATGGGGTAATTTTTAAGTTTAAGTCTTTTAGATTTTTTGAGATAGAACCGAGATGTATGGGATGGATCTGTTTTGGCGAATCTTGATGGAAGATTGAGAACAGTTTATGGGAGACTGGTGAAGATGAGGTTTGGATTGATTTTAATTAGGTTTTTTATAATGTGATTAGGAAAGGCGTTGGATTTCAGGATCTTCTGTAGTTTAGTTAGGTAATTTTCGTGGAATTGCGGGTCGGTTAATGTAAGATTGCGTTGTATCAGGTTTTTAGCTACAGTGATTTTTTTGTGGTAAGGATTTTGGGAAAAATAGGTTAGGAGACTGCAGGAGTAGATAGGTTTGGTAAATAATGTATTATCATTATTTCTGGAAATAATGAGATCAAAAAATAGGAGGAAAATGCACTTAAGCGGCAGAAAAGCGGTACTGGCGTAGGAACCTACAGGCCTCTACCACACCGTTCAGTTTTCATAAATGGCTTAGTTATAGTGCTATGATAACTTTTTTGGTACATCATATTTATTGTATTAACGAAAAAATATTAATGCAATAATTTATTGTCCAAAAAAAAACATTTTTTTTTTTATTTTATAATTTTATTTTTTTTTAATTTTATTTCTTTTATTATATACGAAGTTCGTTTAAGAAGGCTTCTATTGTAAAAATTATACAATTATAACAATAAAACTTTATTCAAAATTACTTTGCTGAATATCTTGAATTTTTTATTTAACGTTTGCAATTTAACACTTTGTTTTGTATATTTACTGATTCTCAGAGTTAATTTAAGTTGTATATACTTCACCGGAAATGATTCATATTATTACTTGTTTTATAAACTATTATAATATATACCTAATCTGAACTACATATAATGAGTGGTAGATTGGTTGTTTAGTAAAACTCATACATCACAAATAAAAATATTAATTTTTATTTCCTTTATTATGTTTGGAAGTTAGGCTATATCATAAAAAGATAGGAAATTTTAATATTGGATGCATTATTCTCTCCGCACAAAGAAAGGTGTAAAGGGCGAATCCAACACCCTCACCCCGTCTCAAAATGAGGGAAAACGCGAAATTGAACCCAAAAATTGGAAAAATACATTAATCGAACGAGAAAGGAGATGCTAAAAACTCTGAAAAGAAAACAAGAATCAGTATCAATTATATGGCTAAACGAATATATAGTAGATAGATGAACAGAATATTTCAAGATGCTGCTAAATGCTGGTCAAATGCTGAAGCGGTTTTGATGATATTAAGGGGAGGATGTAGGTTTATTATGGTGAAGACCATTTTATCAGCAAGAAAGATTTGTTGATAATAGCTGTTCAAAAGTCTCTTTTGAATCTTTTTCATGAAAGTGAAATGAAAACCTGTTTGTCAAATTATTTCACCACTTGAAGGAAAGATTCGCGATGAACTTTTTTCGCCCGATCATCTTAACGTATGAGCAGGAAACGACCGAATCGAATAAAAGAGAGCTTATAATGATTAAAAAATTAATTGAAACGTTAATACCAACAGATTTAAATATTAACAACCATGAAAATAAATTATATGAAGAATGCTGTATGTCAAATGATGTTTAAGATGATCTATGGCAAAATTTACAAAGCACTGAATGAAATATTGTCAAAGAAATATTATGTTTCTGTAGCTGCGTCGGATATCTGAATAATAAATATTAAGTTAATATCGAAAAATGGAGAAGTTGATCGAAATGCGTGCAGCCAGCCTTCCCAGATGCATTCATTTAATTTTTGGTTTATTATTTCAATAATCAACCATTGTGATCGACCGAAAAATTCAAAAACGTAACCCCCTCTCAAAATTTGAGGTTTCACGTTTCAGGACGTGTAGAATTCAAAAAACGAATAAATGTTTTTTTTGTTCGTCCGCCGTCGGGCGTCCGCGCATTTTCCCCGAAACTACTGGACCGATTTTTTTTCAAATTTTGATATAAAATCAGAGGTCATCCGAGGATGATCCTCCTTCATCGACATTACTCTCCACCTTTTACTTTCGAAATGGCGGCCGAAAAACCTGCGTTGCTATAGACTGTAGCTCCTGAACGAATGTACAGATTTCAATGAAACTTCGCTAAAGTCATTTTCTCGACGACCTTTAAATTTATCTATATAACATACTTCAACGAAAAGAAGCTAGAAAAAAAGTTACGAGAGGTAGTAAAATTAAATTACACGAAAAGTTTATATATTTTTGTCAATATTGGATATCGTTTTTTAAAAGTTTACAAAATTTCCTAAAAAACAAAAAAAAAATCGTTAAAATCGGACAATTAGGAACAAAGATATGGTCTCCGGTTTTTTTATTATGTTCTACTCCAAATTTTAAATCCTTGGTTTGGTTTTTAAATTTTGAATGTGTTACTGAGCTAATGCTTTTTTTTTTTTTTTTTAGCATATTACCAATGATTAAAGAAAAAAAGTTTAGTCCAATACTTGGGATCACCTTTTTTTTTTTTTCTTTGTAACTGGGAAGGTAATGTTACTTTAGATGTATAATTGTTTGGAAATAATAAACCATTGTGAAATAATTTGCAACGTTTTAAGTTATATTTAGCACTCTATTCCCAATAGAATTGATTTTGTTCATAACATAATTATTTATGATTTCTGATCTATACAATTGTGCGCAGATGCCGGAACAAGTTGGGAGTACTCATGAGTGGTTGTAAAAAGTGTATTTAAGTATGCTTTTGTTTACGACCATTGTTTTATTTTTTTTTCTATTTATTATTTTGCTAATATTTTATTTTCACTAAATAAGGTGTGAATAATACCAATATTAACAGCGTCCATAATTGTCAACTTTTAATATTATTCGATGAAAGAAATTGAGAAAAAAAACCTTTTAAATGCTTTTATTTAAATAAAAAATAACTATTACAACAATATTTTCATTAAAAAAAAACACATTATTTCCATCATCATTTGAATGCCATGGCAATAATAACGTTATATTCCATCATGACTGCTCCAGTATCTTGGTCTACCATGATATGCAATGTCTGCTTTAATACTTCCGAGGCTTCATATAGAAATTCAGCTTGTATTTCATCAGGTAAATGACGGGTATACGGGTTGATTGCTCTTACAAGTTCTGAAATGAGTAATTATTTTTAGAAAAATTGTGTTAAGGTTTTATGAACAATATATTTTAATATAACAGAAAAGAAGCAAATGAGGATATAAAAAAATGAAGAAATATCAAATGGATTCATATCTTCCATATGCCTATGTGCATTGTGGTAACTTGCAAAAATTGACATTATTATCAAAATCTTTGATAGATATTCAACTTGACACTATCAACTCAAATCATTATGTGTTATAACCACAAAAAATACTATTTGAATTACAAAACCTCTTTCGGTTACTCCCCTTTAAAGTTAATGAAATAGTTGAAACGAAATTAGGCTAAGAAAAGGGAGGTCGCACGTAAAAGATACCATTAAAAACTTTCCACTATTTTTTTTTTTCGTTTTACATATTACCTAAAGTATTTCTAAACAAATTATTTCAGATACTCAATAGTTTTCTGAAGTAAAAATTGTATGTGTAATATTTTATTTGAAGTAAAAAAATAAGATTCTCATGACAGAAAAATCAAGAAAATGCCGTAGAACCATTCTGCTTTAATAGTTTCTTTCAGGTGAAGGAACTTAGGAATGTGATTTCTTAACGTAATACAATATATTCAGAAGAATTAGTGTTGACATATCCGATAGAGAGGATATGTTTGTATTTATTTGCTAAGTAAATAAACCAACTTTCCTTACAAGATCCATTTTGGATGAAATAAAAGATATCAAGTTTGTAGTAGATCTTTTAGAAATTATGTTAGTGGGTAGATGTGATGTAACGAACTGAATACTTGAAAAACAATGGAACTATATTTTTTGAAACCATTACATTTGTCTAATTGATCTTAATGAGCTTACCTATCAAATGAAAAATAATAGAAGTGGAAATATTTTCAGAATATCTAGAAGTAATAATTTCATGGTTGATTCAGACTGACAGAGATCCCCACCCCCTTAAGGCCGATGGCGCAAGAATCTATCTTGTCCCTTAAAAGTTTCAGAAACTTTTCATTCCGAAAATTCATAACCCTGTTGAAATGTGTCCCAATCAAAAAATCTAAAAAACCCGTCATAATATGCCATCTCAAAAATTTTGATGGCGCAACCTTCCCTATAAAACTCTCTTCTGGACACCCCTGCAGACTGAATCAGGTTGATTCATAATGATCTTTGTATCGAGAACGGCTGATGTTTAAACTGAAATATATTTCATAAAATTAAAATATATTCCACGAATATAAAATTAAGTAGAGTTATTCAAGAGTTGAAAACATTTAACAATTGGTGAACTACACTTAGTGCCTGTCTAATCAGCAGGGTTACACCGCACAGTGGGAAGATTAAGGGAAAACTCGAGATCTATTTGAGTTAGTGTTGCCCAATTGCGAGACCGAGACGATCCTTGGTCTTGAAAACTCAGTCTTGGTCGTGGTCTTAGTCTAGCGCAAGAGTCTCGCAACAGTCTTGCAGTTACTTATTAGCTTATTACTATAGAGATATTACTATAATTTTTTGGATAGAAGAAATCTAACTAAGCCCAAATGAATAATTAGAGGAGTTAAATGCAAAAGTATATTGGTTATAACAATTATTTACATATAGTAACTAAGATTGTCAAGTATTAGTAACTATTTTGGCCTAATTTTTATTTAAAAAATCGATTTTTTTTACCCGTCCTTGTCTTGGTCTTGAAACAGTTAGTAGGCGGCTTTGGTCTTGGTCTTGAAAAGTGCAAGACCAAAACCGATTTCGTGCAAAACTAATTTGAATCCGTTTTTTTTTTTTTGAGCCCCGAAAACTAGATAAACTGTTTCCAAGAATATTTTCAGTTGGCACAACATACATTTTTCACTGTTTTTATTGAAGAGTTCAATTTAAAAAAAAAAAAAAGATTTAACCGATGTCACGAGGTTTCCCTTACTAGTCCCACTGTGTGCATGCCCAATTTTGGGGCAGCAATCTGCTAAAGGAGTAATGAATATAAGGCTTTGCCTATTCGAAGGTACAAAGGAAGGCCCGTTGAACTTACAGGAATTCAAGTGAGATGAATTTCAGTCTTCTAGTAGAAAAACTTAAACGTCTACCGAAAAGTATAAGAGGTAGTCCCTTCCTACAACAAAACTTAGACGAATCAGAAAACTTAGAAAAGAAGAAGTAGGGGGAAAAAATTAGATAAAATATTTTTGTATGGAACAGATCAGTCGGTTAGGGAGACTTAAAATAAACAGTATGAAGACGTTCCTTGAAGTGGAGGCGGTCTGAGAGACGTCTTAGCAGATGGTTGTCCAGTGGAAAAGGCAGTAAGAGATTCTTGGAAGAAGTTCAAGAAGCAAAGAAGAGACCTCGAGCAGAGACCTAAAAGAAATAGATGAAGACCTCACCATGCGACAAATAGGTCTCTTTTTGGATTAAACATTATCATTAACTGAAATTGAAATCAAGAACAAGAAATTGAAATGATGATGCCCTTGGAAAGGATACACGATCCGACTTATAAATTAATTTTGTACATCACAGCAGGGGTGTCTATGGTATCTAGCTTTTAAATACATAATTAGTACAGAAAGAGCCGATAAAAATAGAAATATAGACTGGCATAAATGCCGTTTCTGCAATCCTCTACCCACATTAGAAAAACAGATATTCCTCTTTTTTTATTTCTTTCTTCCTCCTTTTTTATCTCCTCATTTGTATCTTTTACTAAGAATTACTATTCGAATATATATATATATATATATATTGTGTGTGTATATAGATTATTAAGTATTATTTTATTTAGGTTACCCATGAATGATTCCCAAGAGTGATAATCACTGCGTTTTATTTTGGGAAAACATCTGATTCCTTGAAATCCAACTCGGCGGAGAATATTTTCGACGAATGTCAAGGCATCATCTGTTTGATAAAACCATGTGACATTCTGAAATAAAATAACAAATTTATTTAGATAATCTTAAGATTGAATAAACTAGAAATATTATATAATTGACTGCATGGGATAAACGGACCATTGGATGGTGAAGTAGTACAAATCATTTTCATAATAAATAATTATTACTTAGTGTATTTTTTTTTATGAACAATTTTTATTGAGAAAAAAATACATTTTGCCTCAATTAAGGTCATTGAGTATTTATGATGAATGAAGTACAATCATACCATATATACAATAAAAGAACAACAAGATTATAAGAAAATAAAATAAAGTAAAACTTGGAGTAACAGAATAAATCAAACATGATACAACATTAGATAAAAATTAAAATAAAAAAAAAATAATAATAATAAATAAAAACACATTCAAACTTATTTACAATATTTACAGTCAGCCGAGGGAGCTCCGAGTCGGGCCTTTTCCCCTAAGTGTGGAGGACAAGGCAAGACTCCAAGAGATCCCAGCGCTTCTCTCTCAGCCGCATCACTAGGATGGGAATCCAGTGGAGACTGAGAGAGGGCACTAAAGCCACATACGCTCATGACTTGAGTGGAGAAGCTGGCCATTGCCAGGACTCCAATGACGTTTTTACAAAAGATCTCGAGGCCACTGCCGCTTCAACCTTCGAGGAGGATTGTAGGGATGACTGGAACTGGATAAGGATTGTGCTAATGGATTAGGATGATAGGTTAGGTTCTGATGAAAATTTGAGAATCGGGATGGAATAACGTCAAGGACATAAGGGATGTTAAGGTCATGATGTAAGGTTTTGTTCGTAACATAATAAGGAGCATTGACTATTATACGGAGGATTTTAGACTGGAAGGATTGGATGCGTTTGATGTTCGATAATTTATTTGTCCCCCACAGTTCAAGTCCGTAGGTCCAGATGGGTTCCAGTATGGTCTTGTATATTAATAGTTTGTTTTCAATTGAGAGGTTAGATTTTCTGTTAAGTAGTCTGTATAACTGGCCAAGTCGTCGGTTAAGCTCTTGTTTTTTAAGTCTGGTATGTGGGTTCCATGTTAGTCTTTTGTCTAAAAGGAATCCAAGATACCGAACTGTGTCTGAGATGGGAAGAGGTACTGAGTTGAAAAGGATATGTGGAAAGGATCTGCGTCGGAGGGTAAAGGTGACATGCTTGCATTTGGATTTATTGTTCTATTAGGGAGATGTGTCTTTGAAGGCTTAGGGATGCTGTTTCAGGGTCTGGGTGGGAAGACAGGATGGCGGTATCGTTAGCAAATGTTACTTAGATTATTAACTTCATGATTTTAAATATTTTGAGACTGACTATATTTAAAATGTTTTTATTATAAATATTTAATTAATTGTATTAATTCACTTTAACTGAAGAGGGGTATATATTATTTAAGAGCCTAAGCAAAGGACGTGAAAGAAAATAAATATAGCTAGATAGATAATATTCTATATTTATTAATGTGGCTATTTTACATATTAAACAATGCCAAAATACCAATCCCATTGTACTTCAATACACACAATAAATATTGCATTATTATTATACATATTACATATATGTTAATGTAATAAAAAATTAACAGTTTACTATTCGAAATAAAAAAAAATAAACAACAGAAATTGGGAAATCCTATCTAGCCAAAAGAAATGTGCATCCATATCTACTTAACACATTAGTGGATTTATAAGGAAATAAAGATCTAAGGATATTTAAAATTGATGGAGTATTCGGGTGCCTACCATAACCAAAACGAAACTATCCGATGTTGACTTGAACCGAAAGCTATTTACCAGGAGTTGTAATATGTAGTAAAAGCATCCAACTATTATACCAAGTTTAAACATACGTAGATTTCGATTTTCCTTACGATCAACCAAGGTATTAAGTATGTGTGGAAGTACATATTCTTTGGATTTCCGGATTTAAGTAGTCGTTTATTTTTTAAATAAAAACTTTTTCAGGCGCCTGTTACTGAAGTTATGTTAAAAATGGACGGAATTTTTGTTGAATATTTAGAAAATAGATTTAATTGAAAAGTATTCATCATATATTTTTGTTATAATAAACCTATTGTAACATTTTTAGAGTACTAGCAGGTCCGTGTGAAAAATTCGCACAACATATTACCAAGTGATCAAATGCCAAATTAATAACAAAATAAAATTATGCAACGTATCAGAAGATAAAGAAATCAATCGTTACTTTCTCGACAAGGGAAACATATTTAAACAATGTTTAAATGGTTATGAAAACATATGTACTTAATAATGCGATTTTAAATCAACGTTCCTGAAATATAGCTACTGTCCCTCAAAGCGGATAGCAATCTATTCCTAATTTGAAATTCGGTACCTAAACAATGATTACCGCTTCCTCCGTACCAAATAGTGTACTTTCCTCCCCTGACCAGCGAACCTCTTGTAGAGCCAGGACATCCAAATTGTACCCATTAACCTCATTTGCGACAGATTTTAACGCATCAAACTATGTAGAGGTGTAAATTTAGTTAAATTTTAGAATATTTGTTATCCACAAAGTTAACCTATTTTGTGTTTATTTTGTGTTTTCTAACATTAATTTTCAACAAAAAATATATTATTTTATGATATATGATTAACTAGATAATAACTGTTTTTTTACGAAAAGTTACTGGCGATACTTCAGTAAAAAATAACCAAATATTTATTATTTAACGATCGAGAAAATAGAAATAAATGTATATTTGCAATTAGAGTTCCTGATTATTTAAAACATATGAATAAAATAATGATTGTCAAATCCTCTTAAATCCTTATTATAGATATCTATATTAGAAAATATTTTTAAAAAGTTTCATATATTTTACGTTAAAAAAGATTTCTGCTTTGTAGGCAGCAAAAAAAAAAATTCTTATATATAATAAAATGGAAGAGAATTGGATAGAATAGAATATTAACTTTATTCTGGGACGATGTAGCTTTAAAATAACAAAATAGTACAAAAAAAGAATAACTTAACTATGGCCGTAAGGCTGGGGTATATTTAATAAAGTTAGGTTAAAAAGAACACATAAAACATGAAATAATCTAGCAATATCCATTCAAACATAATTTCATAATAAAAATAATCTATGTAAAGAAAGCGAAAAATAAACTCTAATAACTCTTCAATAATTAAAAAATACACTTCAGTAAATCAACAATATATACGAAACAAAACAAATTGAATAATTACAAGATACTTAAAACTATATACAAAACAAATGAGAAATTATCCAAAAAAAAAAAAAAAAAAGGATAAAAGGGAAAACAAAACCAAATTAACTTCTCTAATTGATGAATACCAAGTCTTCAATAAGTAAAAGAAAATACACACGCACACTATATATGTGTGTGTGTATATATATATATTAGTTAATATTTCTAAGCTGAATTTAAATCAACTTTAAAAACCTCCTTAATATCACTAGTGGTGATATTAAATAATATCACTTTTCAGTACTGGATTGGGGTACGTGATGTACGTGGATTGGATCCGAGCTGTCCCTACATATTCGGAAATACTGATAATATCTATCTTCGTAAGATTGGAGCAGAGGGGAGGGGCAATGGTTATCTTTGTGCTTTCTGATTTTTTTTTTCCCCATTTCTTAAAAGTTTGTTTCTTTCACATGGTTAACATATTCCTTTTACTGTATCTTAGATACATTTTAAGGTCTTCCGGATTCTTTTTTAGTTTTCTTTATATTTATTTCTGGACTTCAATCTGGGTGATGGGGCTCACCTCTATCTTGATAATTTTCTTAGGACTACCTAATAATCTAACTTACAACTATATTTTGCCATCGCCGAGGAGATGGCGGAAACGTTATGGTATTGAATTCTGCATTTGTTAAATATTTTAAAGAATCGTAGAATTTTATTATTCTTTTTGTTTAAGAATTTAGATGCGGTGGGTAAATTTAAGAAAGCGTAAAGTTTATCTGATTTTTGTTTTTCCAATGACGTATTTTTAGCTATTCGGATTATAATTCCATTTTGGAATTGCTGGAGTCTCTTGCTTGTATTTTCGGAAATGTGGGACAATGGAGGAGCACCGTAGAGAAGGGAAGGGCGAAGAATACTTCTGTAGATGATTAATTTTAATCTGAGACTGAGGTTTGAGGTTGTGAGAAGGTGACTGATTTTATGAATCCATTTTCTTTTTATACTTTTATGCTGAAGAATTAAAATAATGAGAAGTGCCTCCTCGTTAGAATTACTCATTTTCTATTTAAAAAATGAATATTAAAATCATCGAAAACAAATTAGCAATATATAACTTGCGGGAAGCAGGTTCTCTCGTTGACTAGGCCCGCCAGAGAGACGGGTCTGCTGTATCGTCATGAATTTCAAGCGGTATTGTAATATAACGTCGTACCGCGTCCTGTGTGTCCGAGACCTAAGTTATTTAGCCCATTGATTATATTAAATAACTAGGAAGAGCCATTGTCTACCGGAGGTACCGGCTGAAGTAACGTCTCCGCTCATACCTGTTGTTGTTTTTGGTTCTAGGGTTCTCAGTTCGATGATGGTTGATATTGTTGTTGCTGAATTCCGGCGATGATCTGTGATTCCGCTTGGTTGAGAGATGCTGCCATATTCGGAAGGAATTAATGCACGCCTGGAGCCTGAGGTCATTCGTGATCTGACGGCCTGCGTTGTTCGGTGCTGACAACTATAAATGACGCACTTAGCGAGAGTCTCTCTGGTTTTTAAACATAAACATAATAAACAATGATAACACATCGCGGTTGAAGATTGAAATATGTTTTAGTGTGTCCATATTGCTGAAACCCAACTGAGGAATAATTCGATTTTGACGCGGCTCCTTGATTTTTATGTGAGAATAATATACAAAATCAATTTAGAAAATCTTCTCTTAATGTCTCTTTTGTAATGTCTACGAAGAACATAGGATGGGTTTTTTTTAATCGAGGTACGATATTTACTACATTCGTGACTTCATAACCCATTTTTTAAAATTCTTATCTGATTATCACGACTGGTGTTCCATAATGAAAATATTTAACCTTTGGCCTTCTGTATTGTGGGAGTTGATAGGTGTGAAAATCAACGCCTTTATTTCGTAGCCTTGATTCAATTTTCGATGTATGTCAGGTTTTTGTGGGTAAACAGTAAACCCTTTTAATGTTGATTTAGTCTTAAATGTATGAGTACCATCTTGATTTTCTATGAATGAGATTAATGTATGATAATTCTGAACACCGTTTCCAAAAATTGGAGTTTTTCATTTTGAGGTGGTTTTCTTACTTCTTGTGTTTGCGACTTAGTAATGTTGATTGGAACCTCAAAACTGTCTTAGGTTGAAAAAGGTTCTGTTGGAGTTTTTTTTTTTGCTTTTGGCTCGTTTGAATCTGCAATAGGTGTTTTACGCCCAATAACCAGCTCTCATGAGCCAACGTCATTGTTTGTATCACTAGTTTTAAAATCTATCCTGCTTACCTCTTCGTGTTGTGATGTTCTACCATCGTTGATGGTGAAATTCGCTCACTTTGCTACACAAAAAAATTGAGTATTTACTCATAATTAAAAATTTTTACGAAAGACAAAAGTAAATTAACCTTTAACGTTATTTAAAATCAACAGCTGTCTAAGCTTAATATCACAATCCGTTAGATGATTTTAAAATTGCAATTATCAGAACCTTAATTTATAGAATAGAATAATTCAGATGTATCCAGAAACATTTCTATTATTGAAAATTTAAAAATATTTTTCATCCATTATGTTTTTAACAAACATTTTACGATTTCGATATTTCAATTTTTTTAAAATCTTTTGAAGTAATGGAAATATGGTAATGAAAGATATAGTGTCCTCTCATTCTTGAAGAAGTATCGCTTGGAAGAATTGTCTATCCTTAATCCATCCTTAGTAATTATTCGGATACTATAAGTAATAAGTTATGCCATACCCACACATAAATAAATAAAACAATTTTAAGAAAAATTGAAAAGTTATTGTTATTTTAAAACATCCGTAAATCGGATTGGACTCTCATGCACCAATAAGAAATATATTGAGTGAAATCGAAATTAACCTTCAAGAACCTTTTCCACTTTGGTATCATTAGCAGATGATGGAATGCAAGGTATATAGGATTGTCTGGAGTAAGAAACAGCAGAAGGATTTCTCCAGTATGCTTCAACAAATAATGAATATTGGCCATTGCTTGACTGAAACATATATAAAAAAAATCATTAATAATATCCTTTACTGCTTTTTCCGCACTTTTACAATTTTTTTAATCCATAACATTTAAATATGTATGGATAGTTGTTTTTATTTTTTTCCTTTAAAACAATTAGCTACACATTGAAAACAATCTGTTTGATTCTATAAAAATAACAATTCCTTTCTTATAAATTATTTCGGGAATTCTAACATTCAAACCAGGGTTTGAAACTTTTAGGAACTTTTTAAAAATGCTATATTTTATAAACTTTCTGTACAAACTCTCCTCAAAAAGTTGCAAGGAAATATGTTCTAGTTCCGAAACAACTTAAAAAATAAATAAAAATAGCAATCATACCGAAGGTGTTAAAATGTGAAAGGTAAAATTTCATTTCGAACCCTGTTTCCAACAATAGAGAATTATTAAACAAACAAACTAAACTGTAAAAAATAAATGCTATTAATATTAACTTAGCATTGGTAATAATAATACTGGAGTTTATAAATTTTGTAACATTACTTACTAATTCAAAGTTTTTAGTCCGGCAATAGTGTCGCGAAATGTTTTGCCTAATAAAGATGAAAAAAGTTTGAGAAATGTAAGTCTAATAAAACATATTAACGGCAAACCATTTTTATCATTTTAATTACATTCACTTACCGATGTATGAAAAAAATACTGAGGGAAAGTATTGCGATTGTAAAAATTTTCTAATCCGAATTTTAAACCTAAATACATGTTTTGAGGTTCTCTGAGTCCAAATATGGTCCCGAAAAAAGGTCTGTTTGTATGTGAACATTCTAGCTCTAGACCAAAAAGTCAAACGAAACTGATATTACATATTTAAGATAGATATATACCTTAGATATTACAGCAACGTTTTCCTTAAAATCGGCTTACCGGAAGTGCCACTTTATGTCAACGATGAAAGACATTTTTTCAATTTTCTCAAAAACAGCTTCAATGCTTTTGATTAAACCCGGTGTATCATTGTATAATTAAGTGGTCTTTAATATCATTGAGGTCTTATCACATTGATATCTCTTTACAGGGCTTAAATGTCTAATGATCATATATCTCTTCCTCTAAAGTACCTTTAATATGGTTTATTTTGGAAATTTAACTCTCATTTATTGGCAGTGAATAAAAAAAAATCGCTAAATATAACTTTTGAAAGAATTCGATAATTGAAAAAGGAGAAAAAAAGAAAATGCTTCCAGGTCGAAAATGAATTTCCCGAAATAATAGTCAGAAGGTATACGTATAATACATCTTTGGAAACCGCAGAATTTTAGAAAAAAAAATCAAGTAAATAAAGATGTAGAAGATAACGGAGAGTGACGAAAAAAATATAAATAATAATTTCAGAAAACTAACATTATTTTACGTATATCACATGTTTCCAAGGAAGTTAAATGAAATTTTGTTACTACTAAATGTAACCTTTTAAATTGTTTTCTAAGTTTGAAAAAAAAAGTATTTAAAATCCACCGAATCATGCCAATTCCATTCTTTAAAATACTAGTTAATTGTACTTGTGTGAAAGAAGAAGTGAAATATAAAAATATTTCATGGATATGTTTATAACCTTAAATATTTTTGCTTCAGTTTAATAACTATAAATATGATAATATATTTAAATAATTATTTATTCATTTCCAATATACCTGTAATCATGGATCCAATGTAAGCAAGAAAATGAAAATATTTTATCAAATGTTTCACTTTCCCAGTCGGTGCTAAGCTGTGGCTGCTGAATATCGAGAATGTAGTAACGTATCCTCTCTCTCATTTTGTACTTGTTACAAAATTGAATCATGTCTGGAGACACATCAGCGGCAGCCTTAATAAACATACAAATTAATACATTTAGTTTAAATAATTAAATTAATGATATATATATATATATATATATATATATATATATATATATATATATATATAATATTTATAACTATCTATCGTTGAAAACTATAAAAACGACCCTTTCAATGAATTCCACGTAAGGGTCAATTAAATCTTCGACACTCACTCGGAAAAATAAAAATATTGCCTATAATGTTTACAATGAACAAGAAATATATTATACTATTGCTAATCATCAACTACACCATCTATTGCATCAAACTATCTACTATGAATGACTTTATCTGGCTAATGCACTATTTGGCTACGTCAAGTCCACTCTTCTGAAGTTCTCGAGAAGAAGTGGATGAACGGAGTTTGCAGACGTTGATGGCTGGAGTACAAGTTACTCCTTTGGACTTGATGTACTATATACTTGCCTTTGTTGGCTAAGAATACTTGAGGACTTATACATTATATGAAAATGAAAAAAAGTTAACAAATAAAATGATTATTGTTAATATAAAAAAATAATAATTAAAATTAAAACCATCTTTATAATTACTATTAAGACTGTCAAATATTTCATTGCTTAAAGTAGATATGTTTAATTGATTAAAAGTTAAATTGAAATGTTTATAATCAGAAATTATTTGAAATGAGACAATAACTCTGCATATATATGATTATCTCTAGCATGGATTAATGTCTTCATTATCTATTAATTTAATAATAGCTGTTTCTGGTAAAATTAGTGATTAGGGTGAATTATTTTGGGTTGTGATATGTTTAATCTTAGAACTAACAAAATATCAATTATAAGAAATATAAAGTTCTAATAGAGTGTATAAAAAAAACACAAAAAAAAAAAACACCACTTTTCAACCAAATATTGCATTTAACTATCTACTATGAATGTCTATGTCTAACTATCGCTAGATGGGTAATGAAGGAATATTTATACAGAGTCAGGAGAAAACTGACTACTCTAGGATTAATCTCTATTTGGATACCTTAAGCATCGATCCAATATTTTAATTTTGCTTAAAATGGCGCAATTAAATTATAAAAAATATAACCTCTAATTAAAAAAGTAAGAAATCAAAACTACGTTTAGTGTTTAAAAGTTAAAAGGAATGAGAAAGGGAGATAAAAACCTGGAAATGAAAACAAGAAATTATATTCTAAGAAGTCAATAACTGGAGGTAGCGTTATTTTGTTGTTTTTGTTGATTGAAAATTAACCTAATATTGGATTATGAAATTTCCTTTTCGGTATTCTTGGTTATAATATATCAGCCGATTTATTAATTTATTTTTTGTGTGTGTAAAATAAAAATAATATTTCTGTTTAATCCAAAAAGGCTTTTAATAAACTACAGAAAGCAAAAGACACTTTCAATAAAGAAGGAAATGCTACTTTTGTATTGAAAAAGCAATTGAGATTCGATCTTAGCATCCTTTAAGATCTTAAATAGGAAATTATATTGAAATGAAAATTAATTATTTTTGGCATTGATTTTATTAGATGATCTTTTACTTTCACTTACCTATATATGCAATAATAATAATAATACCTACAGTAAGGGAAAGTATTGCGATCCTGAAAATTTTTGAATAAAAATACCAATTTTTACGGAATGGTCTGTGTATGTGAACAGTTTTGCTCAAAAACGAAAAGTCGCACGAAAATAAAATTACACCCACATTAATCGATATTAAGCTCAGAATGTTTTAATCAATAGTGGAACTTTCGTCACATTTTCAGTTCTACAATTTCACAGTATAAAGTTACATCCTTAAATTAAAAAAAAGAAAAAGCTTTACTAAAGCAACAACATTTTAACAATGGTCTCAAAAATAAATAATATGGAAAGTATTCACACCCTATACATTCAAGAGATGTAAAACTTCTATTAAATACATTACGTTTTCTGCTAGTTGAAATTCTTTCAAATATATTTTCACATAAGAAATGATTTTAATTTATTGTTTTTGTAATATTTTAATCTAATTAGAAGATAACATTCTGTCAAATAGAGCCAGATTAGGGAGACAGCTTCTTCACTATTTCTATTGGTTACGCTACGATTTGCCATGTGAGAATAAAATTAAACATTTTTTGAGATTCAGAGTGTCATGAAAAAGCCCTCACATGTGCGAGAAACCAATAATCCTTGAAAATTTCATTCAATCTAATTGCGAACGGCTGTAGGTATTATTTCTGAGTAGACTGTTTCCAAGATATAGGTGTATGAAGGAAAATCGAGTTAATGGTAGCAGGTCATATGCCTGTCAAATGGATAGCCTGATGAAAATGAAAGGAACTTTGTTCCTTAGTTAACGAATCGGAGGCAGTGGAGACTTTATAAATAATACTTTTATTCATAATGTTACAAATGGCACCTAAAATACAGAGTAATATAATATAGATATATGAGTTGACTACATTAGTTCACTCCAGGTCTCCTGCAGTAAAGAGTATGACTCAAGAATGCAACTGCATGAGTGGTTTGGTCTGAGGATCATGGGGGTTATATGCTCAGGAATAGTAGGGGGGATGAATCAATTCTGGACGGTCTAGGAAGCGTGTGAATGAAGTTATCAACTATTAAGAATTGATATCCTTATCTTTTAGAATTGATATGAAGTCTGTGAGAAAGTACTCTTTTGCTGAAAACGGTTATTGTTCTCTAAGTCTTGATAAGTGTCTTCTGTCCAGTCAATACATTCTAGATAACTATTTCTAAGCTATCAGACCTGGCTGTCTAGGGCTTTGTGCTTTTGTGGTTTGATAAAGGTCATGAGAAAGGTCAATGCATGATTAAATGATTAAATAAAATAGATGGGTGACAAATATTCAGGACGCAGTCTTTTTAAAATTTTTTTTTTATTTTTGCCAACGGTTCAACCCAAACATGTGGGTCATTTTCAGGGCTGAAAATGTTTTTTAAAAATTACAATCAGAGATATGATAGTATAGGACCACTAATTATAAATAATAAACTATAGTGATTGATGGTACATTTTATTTTGGCATCCTTTGATACAGAAAGTCTCTTCACCAATATTCCCACAGACCCTGCTCTTCAAATAATTGAAGAAAATTGGTCCACCATAGAACCACACACTTCCCTCAATCAATCCTCATTACTTCAGTCCCTCTCTCTATGTTGTAACACCGGCTACCTATGTTTTTTTTTTTTTGTTTTTTTGTTTTTTTTATTTATTGATGATATTTACAACTGTATTACAAGTAAAAAATACATTCAGTAAATGTGAACAAAAGAATATAAAAGCATGAAATCATTTGATGAGAAACTACCCACTGGTAGCACTCTAAAAATGTATTTACAAAAGGAGATCGCGAGGCCATCTTCTTATCAAATGCCTCGGAGGGACCTATGTTTTCATAACAATTTTTTCCATCAAACTTCCGACTTGGCGATGGGTAATTGCCTTGCCCCAGACCTCTCTAGTATTGTTCTTAACAATCTCATTGATTCAATACTACCTAAATTTCCTAAGGATATATTTTTCATTGAAAAATATGTTGACGACCTTTTATTAATCCTCAACCCCCACGCTATTTCAAACATACTTTCTGCATTCAACTCATACCACCCTCGACTCCGTTTTACCATTGGAATAGAATCGAATAATTCCCTCCCATTTCTTGACCTCCTCATTTCCAGAAATAATGATAACACCTTATCCACCAATTGGTACACCTACCTACTCAGGCCGTCTCCTAAACTATTTTTCCCAACACCCTTACCACCAAAAAATCAGTGTAGCTAAAAACATGACACACCGCAGTTTTACATTAACCGACCCACAATTCCAGTCCCCCACCACGATTTGCCAATAAAGATCCATTCCATATATCCCTGTCCTATCTCAAAAAATCAAAAAAGCGATAACTTCCAAATTTCCCCATCTACAAATAGTTTTCAAAAATAATAGTAAACTAAGAAATCTATACATCAAACTCAAAGATCCTGTTCCGCTCCTACAACAATCAAATATTGTATACCATATCACATGCTCTAGCCCAAACTGTAATTCTTCTTATATAGGAGAAACCAAAAACTATTTAAAAAAAACGAATCTATCAACACAAATATAGCATCTCCACACGAAACCCGTTTGCCTCAAAACTAGCGGAACACGCCATAACCCTAAACCACACATTTGATTTCGAAAACCCAACCATACTCGCCACAGTTCCCAATCACCAAAAACGACTACTATCGGAATCTATATTCATTAATTTGGAAAAAAATAATCCAGTAAACCATAAAGTAGACAAAGAAAAGATCTGCAATACATATTCAAATATTTTCCGCCTCCTGAAACAATAGCCTATGTAATCCTTAATATAACTAAAACTTATATTATGATAAATATTGTATAATATGTTTTCCTAAGTATCATCTGCATACATTGAAATTATCTTTATTATAAAAATTATTCACCTAACCCTTGTATACTTGCTATCAAACTAAGCTATATTTATAATAATTGGCACCTTTTGCTTATGTTCATTTTGATACTAGTCAATAGTCACATTTCTGTGACCATATGAAATAACTCAAATATTGTACACGTCTGAAATATTTGTCAGCAAATTATGTATATTCTACAAACAACATATGTTACCTTATGCTCCCTTCACCTCTAACCTTGTTTACTTACCTTTTGCTATCCAAAAAAAAAGGACAAGTGGGAAATCTTCCCCCCCCCCTGACCTTTTTACTTACCTACCAAACATGTGTCAGTACTTGAACAACCTCAGTGCTCAAACCACGGTTAGCAAGAGAAAATATTACAAATTTATATAAATGGATTATATACATTATTTTTTATTTTTAGTTTGTATAAATATTTTAATATGTGTATTACAATATTAGTTAAGATTCTTGTGTCATCAATCATTATAGTTTATTATTTATAATTAGCGGTCGTATACTATTATATCTCTGATTGTAATTTTTAAAAAACATTTTCAGCCCTGAAGATGACCCACATGTTTGGGTTGAAACGTTGGCAAAAATAAAAATAAAAAATTTTAAAAAAGACTGCGTCTTGAATATTTATCATCCATGATATGTAGAACAGTTGAGTAACTTCCTTCAAGAATTCATTAAATAAAATAAAAGTTAATATTAATAGTTGTTACGGATTAAGTCCATTCCGTAACTCTTGATATCCAAAACGTAGAATACGACTGGAATCATTCAATTCTTAAAAAAAAATAGCCTTCCACATGAATATAATGCTTATCCTCCGTGGCGAGAATTAACTACAGATAATTGCGAAATATTTTGATGAATAATTAAAAAAATATCTAAATACTCATTTAATTTATGACCCAAAAACAAAATATTATTTACCAAGACAGAGTTCATTGGCAGGATGGGATAAAGTACTGATGTGGTTATATCGCCTATGCCACATCCGATATCCAAGATTTGTTCTCCATCTTTCCAATCCATATGATGTTTATACTCCTCTAGGATTTCAATCACGTCTTTTTTCTGCATATAATTCCAATTCATCATCAATTGCGGGTCTTCCATCTTGTAAACGTCTGAAAAAATACAGTTTAATCACTTGTAAATATTTTTAAGGAATCGAAACCTCAATTTGACAATTTTGAAAATGATTGAGAAAAGTAAAGTGAGAAAAAAACTGCATGAAAGTAAAAATTATAAAGGTAGCGAATATAAGTACATTAGAAAAAAAAAAGAAGAGCACGGATTAATACAAAATTAAATTGCTTTAGAAAGCTTAATTAAATGATTCATAATAGGAAATTATGGGGTTTTCTAAAATTTGACTTTTTTATATTTTGAATTAAATTGGGTTTTATTGTAAAAATCACTTCAGAAAGATAAAATAACATAAAAAATATATTTTTATGTATTTATTTTTCTACTTTGTTTTAAAGCATCAATGTTTATTTGCCTGTATGTTGCATTATTCACATGGAGAGATAAAATCACCCAGTTTTTCTACCGAATTCATGAATAATTTAACGATACTTATTGGTTTATTATTTTCAATAATCAACCATTGTGATCGTTCAAAAACTTAACCCCCATAACAAAATTTGAGGTTTCACGTTTCAGGATGCGTAGAATTCGAAAATCGAATAAATTTTTTTTGTCCGTCCGCCGTCCGCGCGTTTTCTCCGAAACTACTGGATCTATTTTTTTCAAATTTGGATATCAAATCAGGGGTCACACGAGGATGATCCTCCTTCATAGACATTAACATCCGCCTTTTACTTTCAAAATGGCGGCCGAAAAACCTGCGTTGCTATAGACTGTAGCTCCTAAACGAATGTACCGATTTCAATGAAACTTCGCTAAAATCATTTTCTTGACCCCCTTTAAATTTATCTATATAACATACTTCAACGAAAAGAAGCTTGAAAAAAAGTTACGAGGGATGATAAAATTAAATTCCGAATAACTCAAAAAGTATACAGTTTTTTTTTATGGTTTTTAAAAGTTTTGGAAATCTCCTAAAAACCAAAAAAAAAAATCGTTAAAATTGGACAATTAGGAGCAAAGATACGGTCTCAGGTTTTTTTGAAATTTGTTCTACTGCAAATGTTATATCCTTTGTTTGGTTTTTAAATTTTGAATATGTTACTGATGTAATGCTATTTTTTTAGCATATTGTCAATGATTAAAAAAAAAAGTTAAGTCAAATAACTGGAATCACGTTTTATTTATTATTCTTTGTAACTATGAAGGTAATGTTACTTCAGATGTATAATTGTCTGGAAATAATAAACCATTGTGGAATAATTTGCAGCGCTTTTTTAAATATGATTGTTAAGAATTTGAAAAAAAAAAATTCTTTCTGTTATACCTAAAGGACGTATCAGAGAAAATTTAAACGCAGAAAACTAATTAAGAAAAAAATTATACATTGGGGTATTATATAGTATATAAAATGTCATATAAAGGTCTCAATTATTACTGTTAGATTAAAAAAATAAAATAAAAAAGATTCGCATGCAATTGATTGGTAATATATCATAAAACTTGTTAAAAAGAAGATACATTTTTTTTTTTGTCCTAGCCTTTTATATATTATAATGTTGTTCCCGGGTCAGAAGGCAGGACGGAGGATAATGCCAGAGTGAAAATCTACCCCTTCCCCCTACACCATGACGTGAACTCGTAATTATTTTATCATATTAACTTCAATTAATCAAGTTGTTCCACAGATGGATTACTTAAAAATCAATTTTTATCATATTAGTATGTTTGGTTTAAATTTCTTCTAGTTTGATGGAAAAAGATATTAACGGTTACTTATTACCCTCAAGTATAACTGTATGACTGTAAATGTATTTATGTGTGTGGATATTATATCGAAGAAAACTGGAACAACACAAACGATTTTCTATATTTGTATCATCATAATAAACAAGATGGAGTTATGTAGTTCCTAGACAATGAAAGTTTTATAAAACATATATAGCAAGTTTATAACAAATGACTCTTTATGATTTTTTTTTTACTATTTTTTATGTTTATTTATTTATCTATTTTATCTTATTATCTATAAGTGTTTATTATTGTCTTTATTTTAATCTATTATTTTTTTTAATTTATTTGTTTTAAGTACAATCACCTAAACAGTCTAAAAGTAGTGTTATTTAGTTGATCGGGCTCTGATGACCTAGATGTTTTGCGCCTAGACATTGAAAACTATTAAACAGATGATAATGATTAGTAGCGGATCCAGGATTAATTTTTGAGAAAAAAGATTTTTTTTTTTAATGGTAATTACGCTCTAAGAAAAAGAACCGAATTTCCTGATGGAAATGATGTTTAAATTATCATTGCGTGTTGAAACAAAAAAAAGTAATCCCAGGAAAAGTAATGTTATTAGAGATTTTTTTCTTGACTCGTGACTTACTTTCAGTAGCTGTATAAGCGTTATAATTTAGAGATCGAACACATTATGATTGTTCAATCACTTAATAAAAATATTATTTTTCTATTTTGGGAAGGTTTCTTCCCGAAAGTCCCCACTCCTACTACTCTGTAGATCAGCCTGTGATCATAATTATACAACAGCTTAATTTTTTTATTAATTCATTGGTTCCTATGTTTTTCCGAACTAATTTTTAAAAGCGCAATAAAAAAATAAATATAATTTCTTTATTTTTTTTTGTTCTACCCTTTTATATACTATAATTAGTGTTACCCAAAATCAGTCTTGCTCTTGCACTTTGCAAGACCAAGGCTGCATAACTGTCGCAAGACCAAAACCAGGACTGGTAAAAAAAAAAACGATTTTTTTTAATAAACAGTAAGGCATAATAGTTACTAATACTTGACAATCTTAGTTACTATATGTTAATAATTGCTACTATACTTTTGCACTTAACTCCTCTAACTTTTCATTCGGGCCTACTTAGGTTTCTCCTATCTAAAAAATTACAGTAATATCTCTATAGTAATAAGCTATTAAGTAAATGCAAGACTCTTGAGAGACTCTTGCGCAAGACCAAGACCATGACCAAGACTGAGTTTGCAAGACCAAGACTCGTCTCGGTCTCGCATTTGGGCAACACTAACTATAATGTTTTTCCCGGGTCAGGGGGAAGGACGATATTGCCAGAGAGAAAATTCATTCCTTCCCTAGACTTTAGTGGTAGTATAACATAAAACTTGTTAAAAAGAAGATGGATACATTTTTTTTTTTTTTTTTGCCCTACTCTTTTATATACTATAATGTTTTTCCCGGGTCAGGGGGAAGGACGGGGGATAGTGCCAGAGTGAAAATTCACCCCTTCCCTAGACTTTATTGGTAGTATAACATAAAACTTGTTAAAAAGAAGATGGATACATTTTTTTTTTTTTGCCCTACTCTTTTATATACTATAATGTTTTTCCCGGGTCAGGGGGAAGGAAGGGGGATAGGATATACTGAAAATTCTTTTCTGACCTAGCTGCTCATTTGGCGAGGAAGAGAGAGGTACCAGATACGCCAATAAATTGCATCACCGTTGAAGATTGGTTCTATAAAACAAAAAAAAAAGCTATTAAAAAATTTGGAATACCAATGCAAAACACAACGAGGCAAACTAACAGAAATAAAAACCGAGTGCGTGGGCCACAAGCTCCAGAAAATCGAGAAGAGAAGAAATAATACTATGCCGAATGCGAATTGGACACTGTCTTTTCACACAGGGATACCTTCTTAGTGGTCTCGAAGCTCCAACCTGCCAAAAGTGTGACAACACCCCTCAGACAATTAAACATCTATTACTAGAGTGCCCCCCAATATGAAAAAATGAGACAAAAATGAAAGCTTTAGACGACATAGAAAGATATTTTGGAGACAAGGAGGAAGATGTCATCATTCTCTATCAATATTTATTAGAAACAAAGCACTATAATAGAATATAAAAATCAAGAATTACCGGCGATGACCCTCTAGGTAGAGGCTAGTACAAATAAAAAAATTTCTTTCTTAAATCATTTTTTATATTACGATATTGATATAATTGTAATATTCTGATTAAAAGGGCATTTTCCCACACTACTCTCTTATCATTATCAAAACTCGGGAATATCAAAATTAATTATTTAACAGCGATCACAAATTTTAATATTTTGCCGTTAAACAACCGAATTGTTCAGATAATTTGTTTATCTTTAACGATTTAATTTCTGTAAGAGCTTACGAGATGATTGCCCCGTTATTATTTAAGTTTTAGTTTGTTTATGCAACTGCAAAACTATTACTAAAAAGAAAGTATTCTATTATAATTTATGTTAACCAAAATATTACCAAATATTGGTTATTACTAATTCTATAACTTATCTTATGTGAAATCTGTACATCTTCAAGTAAACTATCTATATGTAGTCAATTTTATGTATTCCATATCTGTCCATAGGTCAGGTTTTTCTTATTAAATTGATTGTACACAGGAGTGTCCAGAGGAAGGTTGCATGACGCACGATGCGCCAATAAAATCTTTTTTATGTGAAAGTAAATTTATAAGGAGGGTTTAGATTTGGGAAAAACTTTAAAATCCAGAAAAAAATGGAGTAAATGTGGAACAGGCCTCAGCAGGCTCATTGTGAATAAACTACAGTATTTATAATTCTACTGTTTTTAAGATGAGAACAGAAAGGATTTCTTGTGGGGGAAGGAGGTGATAGGCAGACCTTATATACTTATTTTTATATAAATAAATATTTGATAATTAATCCTCTTTGAGTAAATACGTATTTATTTTATATGTAATGTTCCTTTCAGATGGGCTAATCTTGACGTGTACAGACCTCTTCTTTTATTATTTGTGAATCAATAAATTTAATAGAGGCGTTTGGTTTAAAAACCGATTTCATCCATTTTCAAAAAAGGTTTCATAACCCATAAAAAAATATTCCAACCACTTTTGATAGAAAATAGAATATGTTGGTACTGATTTTTGGAAGATCTAAACGGTTTTGAAACAAACACATGAAATTTACCATTTCTTGCACTAAAAACATATAAAAACTAAACAATTTTTATTTCAAAATAGAGGGACATGACCGATTTTGAAACCAAACGCTTTAATAATTACATTAATTATTCGTTTTAACTTATTTAAATTTTCATATGTCAAATATTGAAGAATTAATAAAAAATTGTCCTTCAAACAACAGAATATAAAAGCCTCATTATATGATAATTCAGCATCATTTGGATATCAAAAGTGAACCAGTGACAATTAAAATGTATATTTAGTGTAGGTTTATCAATGCTATTGTACTCTGAATGAGTTTTTTTCTAGGATATTTGGGAGAAGAGAAGATTTAATTTTTACAAAATCATATAATTTCATTTATTAATTGTTATTTTTTTTCATTTTTAATATCATATAGATCATTTGATGAATAAATCGTCGGTTTATTGCAAAAAGATCCTAAATACACTTTTGGTCTATTTTTACCTAAAAAATAGACCAATAGTGAATTTATAGAGCAAAAATTCACTATCTCGTACTTAATGATATCTTGTTCTCTAAGTAATTTTAAAAAAAAAATCACTATAATTCATTATGTTGTGCTTATTGACTTCTCTCACTGGATTAATTAATCAGATGATTTTTTATTTGTTTATTTAGAAATATAATAATCTGTCTCGTGGACAACAATTATAGTGATATATGAACACATTCAGACCAATCAGATGATTAATAAAACTAAGTGATTGTAATATTTAGCTGCTAGAGTAGTACTTTTCAAGTTCACTCAAGGTTCTTATATATGGTGTATTAAGGAATATGTAAGCCCTTATACATTAATTTTTTTTATTCTAATTCAAACGACGTTTCGAACTGATTAGCACACACTCAAGTTATCAAAACATTTTTACCAACTATAATATATTTCTATATTAGAATTTCATTGAACAACCATTTCTAGTATACCAATCACAAAAAGCTTGTCTCCTTGTTTGCACATTTATTGATGCTTGTCATTGCCGAAAACTACATCATCCCTCTATTGTTTAACATTGACTAAATGCTCAAACAAGGACACAAAAAAAAAAAAAAAAAATGGGTGAGCCCCATCAGCTTTACTGATATTTAATAATTATTGTTACAACAAAACATAAAGACAATTTCAATAAGGCCTTAAAATGTAACACAGTTACAGTAAAAGGCGCTCAACACAAAACAATTGTAAAATAAATTGTTCATTCTGTATTATATTATTGGGGTTACGAAAAAAAAAAAAAAGGAGAAATGTCGTTATTTTTGTATTTGGTGTACTACAAATGGTTGTTCAATGAAATTATAATATAGAAATATATTTTAGTAGATAAAAAAAATTTTTGATGACTTGAGAATGAGCTCATCTTCATCTTGAAACGTCGTTTAAAGTAGAATAAAGAACTTTAAAGCATAAGGGCTTATATATTCCTTGAAGACACCACATATAATAACTAATTGTAGGTGAGCTAAGACTGACTCTCGTTCCATGTGCTTGCAAGATTACAGAAGTATGTTCATGTTTTGTTTAACTATGATAGTGTGCAAAAGTCACTATATGCGTTGTGGTTTCTTTTTTTTTATTGTTTTGTATATTTTAAGTATTTTAATTAATTGCCAAAAATATAATGCATATTTATAATTGCAAATAACAAGAGATAAATAATAAAATTGTAATTTAAGTTTTTTTTTTTTTTTACGAACAAAGAAACTTCAAATTCAATTACCTCATATTCAATAAATGTCATTTAATGACTTTTTGCGACAAACTGACGAACTATCTTTTATAAGCTTTTAAATCACAGATTTAATTTATCACCTTATTTGGGAAATTATTTCATGAATGATTATCTATAGTTGAAACTGCCAATTAAAATGAGTGAATAAAATTGTTTTTGATGGAATTATTTTGGTTTTTCAAATACAATTTCAATTTGTTGGTGTAATCCATTCCCTCAGCTTTTATATTAATTTTTTACAATGAGTATTTTTTTTTTAAACAATGCTTTCAGACAGGTATTTATAACTTCAATAGGGTCGATAATACGTAAGATAAATTTATATTTTATAACTTACCTAACTTAAAATTTAAGGGAGAGAGAAATGGGACAGCTACTTTTAACATAAACTACACAATAAAGAAGATTTGCAACAGAATATTTTGAACAAAATATAGGGATAAAATAATCATACATTAAAATATCAAGATTAAATGGTCGCGGGGAATAACTTGGCAAGTGTAAAAATAATCCTAATGAGTTATATGTACCGATATTATTTTTCAAACCTTCTGCACGCATTAGTAGATATCTACATAGATCTCGTCTCGATCTCAAAAATATTTAGAGCTGTTTGTTATAAAATTCTCGACATGATGCAGCAGACATGATCTATATATATATATATAGATAGATAGATAGAAAGTAAACTTTATTCTGGGACAAGGTCCCTTATGATTAACAGATATGAACAAAAAAATAAAAACTACATCTGGCCAAAAATTACATTAATCAATATTAAAGAATATATCTTCAGTGAAATTAAATTAAAACAAGTAAAAATAAAATAAAATTTTGAGAAAAAACGAAATTAAAAAAAAAAACATTATTTAAATGAAAAGAAGAAAAAAAAATTAAATAAGCATGGGTTGATTTTTAAAATTAAGACTCAATAAATTTTATCAACCATTCACCTCAGTCAAAATCTGTTTCACAATATTTATTTTATTGTATAACGTCATTTTGGGATGTGAGAAGGAATTGGTAGAGATGATATTTAAATGAGGACAAGGAAGAGGCATGGCGGATTTCAGATGGCAAGGAATTCCAGAAGGCTGTGGATCGGGAAATGAAGGAATATTCAAACGTCTTAGTTCTATGGGAAGGGATATAAAGGTCGGAAACACGGGATCTTGTTTTCTGGGAGTGGACCACAGGTTTAAACTGTAGGAGATTGTAGATGTAAAAAGGGTGTCTGGTGTTGATTGTTTGGAATAGGAAAGATCCGAGAAATATATATATATATATATATATATATATATATATATATATATATATATATATATATATATATATATATATATATATATATATATATATATATATATACGTAATTTATAAAAAACCATTTAACTATCCACCAAGCCAGTGCCGGCCTAAGACACTCGGCGCACCGGACAATGACATCATCTCCCCCTCCTCAAAAAAAATTAATGGATTTCTTAAGTTTTAAATTGAATTTATTTTCATTTAATATTTCTCTAATACAATTGTTATATTAATATTCTAATATTAATTATTTTAATACGTTATATATATAAACCGACACTGCACCAAGCTATTCTATATTAGCATAAAAATTAGTCCTGAAATCAGAAAAATGTACTTATTTCGGCCGATTTAGGCAAAAAACTATAAAAATTAATTAGGCAAAAAACACAGATTAGAAGCTAGCTATTGGAATTTTAAAGTTCCACTGAACAATAAGAAATGTTTCATATGATTCAAATTAAAAAAAAAAAAAAAAATACTTTGAACCATACTTGAGTACAGATAGTTTCGAAATGATCTTCAGTAGCTATACGTGATGAAAAGGAGTTTATACTATCTTGCTTTGTAATGTGGAAGACCGAACAGCTCAGCAAACCTGCCCACACTGGCTTGCAGCTAGCACATTTCAGTAGTATTAGCATGTTTATCGAAGCAAAGTCGATCTATTATAAACAAAGAACGTCTTCCCTTTTTATTTTAGCAAACATAAATATTCGTTCATGATATTATTTATGATTTTAAAAATACATAATGCCTTACCAAGTTATATATACAGCCGAAGCATTTATTATACCTTACAATATAGCATGATTGCCTTAATTTCTAAGTGATTTGTTGTACTTACTTCAACTTACCTTAAGCCAATTTTTTAAAAATCAGACTACCAAACTTGTTTTAAAATCGTGGTTTTTAAAAACGTCGTCCTGACAATTTAGCAACAGTTTTAAAACACTCCTTTCTTTTTCCTCTCTAGCCATTCCTGGCATACGGATTAGTTGTAAAATACTGGAAAGTTAATATTCTTTTTCTTAGCCCCAAAGTTGAGCTACTGAAGTATTCAAAATTAACTTTGTGTGATGGAATCTCTTATACTGCATAGATAGTATGCCCGTAATAAAATTAGTAATTTTTAAAATAAAGGTCTACATTTAAATTACATTTCATAATTATTAGCGTCTCAAATTAAATTCTGGATTCAATAATAATAGGTATGTCATCAGGTTTTTTTTACCAGTGAAAAATCTGAAAATAATTTTACTCATTCATTGGACTAAACTATGTTTTGGGATATTTATACGATTTTATTGGCCCACGTACATTCCTGGTTTCATTTTATGTTCAGATCGGGTAGTGGAAATGATAGTAATTTATCCTATGACTGAAAAAACGTAAAATAGTTTACACTGTTTATAAACATTAGTCTGCATACCTATTTATGGATTAACTGATTCATGTTTGATTCAACTAAAAATACATAAACTGAAGTTTCTCAACAGTTTCCAGATGAAAAAAAATGTTAAACGTTTTATTGTTCATTCTCGTAGGTAGCGTTGTCCAAATGAAAGATTGAGACGAGTCTGGGTCTTGCAAACTCAGTCTTGGTCATGCTCAAGAGTCTCGCAAAAGTCTTGCTGTTACTTATTAGCTTATTACTATAGTTTTTTAGATAGGAGAAACCTAACTAAGCCCGAATGAAAAATTAGCGGAGTTAAATACAAAAGTATATTGGTTATGCCAATTATTAACATATAGTAACAAAGATTGTCAAGTATTAGTAAATATTTTGCCTTAATTTTTATTAAAACAATCGATTTTTTTTCCCTGTCCTGGTCTTGTTCTTGCAACAGTTAGACGGCCTTGCAATGTGCAAGACTAAGACCAATTTTGGGAAATCAAAATAATTGGTAACATTTTATTACTTTTAGAAATATCAATGAAATACCTTTTGCTTACTCGTGTAATATTATAATTAAACTCTGTAAATTTTGGAAAACAAAAATAAAATATTAATCTTTTGATTAAAGACTAATGTTTGTTCTGAAAAACATCAAGATGTTACCTTAAGTAACTTGATATAGCTGTTATTTACAATTTAATTGAGAGTAAAACTCATTAAAGAAGGATAAGAAATAGATGAGAGATATTCTGCAGTCGTTTATTTAGAAAAAACTGAAATAATGATAAAAAAAAAGAAGTAAAACCAATAAACAAGTAAATGTTACTAAAATATTTTCTCTGAATTATGTTTCAAATTCTAAGGTGTGTCTTGTCAACCTAAACGAGCCAACCATTCTGACACATAAAAGCACATCGTTTCCAGCTAATAGACTGAAGTCACACTTCAAAATTTTATTATCTGTTATGAAACCAAATCCAAGCAGTTTTTTTATATCTGGTATTTCTTTGACAATGGGGAATTCCTTCAATTGGTACTGACCCTGCAAACAAACAATAATAAAATAGACAATAGACAAAAGCATATCAAAATCGATTCAAATATATATAAATCTTATAACTTGTGATCCTATTAAATTGTGAAAATGTTAATTTGATTATGATTATTATGATGATTAAAATATTCATTATTTTAATTCGAGCGTTTAGGCTGAGGCGTTCCTTGGGAGGATAAGACATTTTGAACAAATTCAGTAGATAATATTTTTTTTTGTCGAATGATAACTTCATTGCAGAAAATTGATTTTTTTTTTATTTATACAGAGTTTATACATTCTTCCCATTTTTATTTCTTTATTTTATTTTATTTTTTTTACTAATCTTTATATTAATGTATATTTGTTTAACTGAAAGGATAAAAGAATTTTTATTTGTTTTTGGGAATGCCTCAAATGGTACTTTTATTAAATTGGTTGATTATTTAACTTAAAATTAGGAATATTGCAAATGGCTATGGGAATGGATAAACACGATAAAATCTACTTTTTTAATTAGAAATTATATGAAGAATGAGGGATTGAAGTTGAACAAAGGGAACCATTTATACAGGCACAGTTACCAATCCACATTCACGAAAGCAAGGTAGACCTGCAACTCTTGCATAAGGTGGATAAAAAAGAAACACCAGACTATGAGCTAAAAGCAATAGCACTAAGAACAATAGTTCAAAAGTACCCTCCTCAGGATTGGCTTCGTATTAATAGCGACGGATCAGCTGAATCAGCCGTCAAAAATGCTGGGGCAGGAGTTTACTCGAGAGAGTTTCAGTTCAGTGCTGCGGTGGGTTAGGATGGTACAAGTTTTGACGGTGAGATAGCAGCGATCCTCATAGCCCTAAGAACACTATCAGGAAGGCAAGTTCAAAACGCTGTTCTCTTTGTCGACTCGCAAGCAGCAATCCTCGCTATTACTGACGTGAATGAATGTCTGTCGAGTGCTATCTTGGAGTGCAAACCTCTCCTCTACGACCTAACACTCCGAGGCACCAATGTGGTCCTACAGTGGATTTCAAGCCATTTCAGGAATTGACGAAGCAGATAGTATCGCCAAGAGAGGAGCGGAATTGCCTTAACTAGTTCATCCAAAATCTTAGGATTCAATTCGGCGAATGGTGAGAATGGTAATGGAGAAGGAAATAAAAAAAATACACAGAGAAAAGGTGGAAGGGAAACGTTATAAATGTTTGATGGAAAACTCGATCCCTGACATCTACAAAGCTATTTCCACGTAGCCCTGGAGCCAGGGCCCAAAAATCGTCCTGATCGCAGGCGAAGGTTTTATTGTAAATTACTAAAGTTTATGTTATTCTGAGTAAAAAGAACCTTATCTGCCGTTCCAGAGCCGCTGCTTTAAAAAATGGCGGCCGATTTAAATAATATCGGACTAATAATTTGAGGATTGAAACGGAAAATCCAATGCCCAAAATGTGAGAAAAGTTTTTTTTTTTTAACTTGTATATATGGGTTTAGACATGTAAAAAAGAAATTTTCTAAGCCAAAATAGTCAGATTTTTCAATATTTTTTTTTTATTTTTCACCTATAACTTCTAAACGATGCGAAAAATGTACCCTATAATAAATTAAAGAACGTTAAAATTTTCGTCAAACAAATACATAAACTTTATAATTTGGTAACGCGGTAAGGTGTAAAACTAAGGTCAACCAACGCTGATTTTTTACCAAATTTGTCAAAAAATGAGATAAATGACTATAAATGGTCCTATAACATGGCAATGACTTCCCTTAGTGGAAAAATCCACAGAATCAAACTTGTAGAACATCAAATTTTGCGTAAGCTGAGTACCAACCAATTTAATGTAATTCACTTACTGCGATCCAAATCGGTAATCTCCCGATGGTTAGAAATTGGTAATGAAGGTAAACATGATTTCTACGTCTATTCAACTGAGTTATTTTTGTTTAGAGTCTGCTACGTGCAGTATAAGCCTCTTTGCACGTATTTTCCAGCAGCAAAGGATTTTGGTAAACGATGTGTCGAAAGATTTTACAAAGGCCAGTACTCAGCTTACGAAAAATTTGATGCTGTACAATTTCCCTCTAAGAGAACCCATTTCCAAGTTACAGGGCCATTTAAAGTAATTTGTCTTAGTTTTTGACAAATTTAATAAAATCAGCGTTGGTTTACCGTGGTTTTATACCTAACCGTGTAACCAAATTATAAAGTTAATGTATTCGTTTGACGAAAATTTTAACGTTCTTTAATTTATTATAGGGTACATTTTTCGCTTTGATGGAACGTTTAGGAGTTATAGGTGAAATAACAAAAAACTATCCAAAAAATTTGACTTTTTTGGCTGTAAAAATTTTTGCTTCTTCTAGGATTCAGGCAGACCAATTAGGCAAATGTCCTGGAGCATTTGGAACTAAATATATAAATAATATACTGGTCAGCAAGATGTAGGATGGTCGAATTACCAATGACTTCGGCATAGGGAAAAAAAAAATTATACTACGAGTATAGAGGTCCCAAATAGTAACCCTGCCGGGTCTTAAATAGTGTTGATACGCTTCTGACTTATGATTGCCAAACGATCAAAGTTGAAAAATAAATATGTTATTATAATTATGAATAATAACAGAAAAAAATCATGGAAATAATTTATATTTTTGGAAAGAGTTTAATCATGATTGAAGCCATGACTGGGTTATTTACCATTCCCATATAAAGTAGCCAGTGATTATTAAATTTGTTAAATACTGTCAAAAAGTATTTTTTAAAGATATGTTTAGTTTAAAGGTATGTTTAGTATTGAATAAAAAGTTGATTAGTTTTGTCACAGTTTTTATTTATTAACCAAACAAAAATGTGGAACATAAGATTAAATTTGCAATCTGCAAATTTCTTTGCAATAAGTAAATTTTTTAGTAGCTTCACAGCTTCCCATCACGTCCGGGATATAAATCAGATCAGCAGGTCTCTTGGCCAACGCCTACGTAATCGTCGTAGTGGGCTGTACGGGTTTCTTGTACGATGAAGGATTTCTGTCAGAGGATTCATGTTGTATATGTCAGTCTTTGGTGAAAGTTATTGTAGTTTTTTTTTGCAGTATCTAAAATAGTAGGTACGTTTAAGTCTTTATGTAGTGTATCATTTGCGACATAAATCGGTGCGTCAACTATCCTTCGCAACACTTTTGACTG